ATTATGCCCCTCCAAAGTTAAATCCTAAACTTGCCTCTGCATTTCCGGGGTCCCTCAGATTGTCCCTCGTGCCCCTAAACGGGGAGAAGGTCTGGGGATTAAATCAATTATGCCCCTCCAAAATTCCAGGGGTCCCTCAGATTGTCCCTCATGCCCCTAAATGGGGAGAAGGTCTGGGGATTAAATCAATTATGCCCCTCCAAAATTCCAGGGGTCCCTCAGATTGTCCCTCATGCCCCTAAACGGGGAGAAGGTCTGGGGATTAAATCAATTATGCCCCTCCAAAGTTCCAGGGGTCCCTCAGATTGTCCCTCGTGCTCCTAAATGGGGAGAAGGTCTGGGGATTAAATCAATAATGCCCCTCCAAAGTTCCAGGGGTCCCTCAGATTGTCCCTCGTGCCCCTAAATGGGGAGAAGGTCTGGGGATTAAATCAATAATGCCCCTGCAAAATTCTTAAATTCTAAACTTACCTTCGCAGGTCCAGGGGTGCCTCAGATGTTCATGCCGTGCCGTGCTGTGCCGTGCCGTGCCATGCCCCACGTTAGGCGCCACCTGTTCAGGCCGGCTGGCCGGTGGCATGGACACGGCAAGGGCCAGGGAATCAGACACCTACAGGAGACCAGTAGTGGTGGAAGAAGTCTCTCTCAGCCTCCCTTTATTCAGCCATATATACCTTTCCCCCAAGCCTCTAGCAGAACAATTGGATGCTAATGAGTCTGACAGACAAGGTGCCACTAGCCTCCAAGCCCATTTCCTGCAGGAGCCAAGCTTAACAAATGCTAATCAACTCCTCAGCCCACAACAGTTTCCACACCTACAAAGGGAAATTATAATAGTACCTACTTAAGGTGTTAAAGAACATAACACAGTGCGTAACTTGATGTTAGTGGCACTTGACGTAGTACTTGTTCTTGCTCATTATTTCCTAGAGTTAATCTGATTTTCCTAATGAGAAGACCAAGCACTCATCCAGCCATACTGAATAGAATCATCAGACATTTGAGGTTCAGATAAAAGCCTCTTGACATTAGAGAGATCTGGACATGTCAGAGGTCACTTATAAGTATATTGACATCAGAAAAACTTGGTGGGTCATCATAAGTTTACTGTCAGGCTAATAAGGGCTTGACTATGAAGGAAGTGAACATAAAAAAAAAAGAACACAAAAATCTTCAGCTAATAGGGAAGTGGTAAACAAATAAGTGCATGTACTTAGTGAGCCAGAGGGAAAATAATAAAATATTTAGATAATTTAGAGAAATGCTCCAAAAATGAACAAAGAGGCCTTGATAGATATTTTTCCTCACAGATTTCAAATTTTTCAGTAGAAATTGTAGAAAGGACAGTCTGGTCCTTCAGGAGTCTACATATGTAGTTGGTTAGAGTTGAGTAATACTTCAGTGACATCTCTTACCAGACCTAAAGACCCTTAGGGTTAAAGAGATCAGATGGGCTAATGGTCAGTATTGGTATCAGAGTTTCTAAGTACATGGTGACTAAAGTGAGCTTGTTGGATGGTTTGGATCATTTATGACATTGTCTCTGTGAATCAAAATGATCTGCCACCATTCATTTGTCTGTTCATGAATTATTGGAGATTAAGGGCAACTGAATGGACACCATCCTGTGGCAGAACAGGAACCACTGAGGACATAGGCACTGGGCCCTTCGTGTCCCAGACAGGTGTCACCTAATTCTTGAGAAGAACAAAAAGACACTTTTCTGTTTGAAAGCAGCAAAATATTCCTTTAAAGAAAAAAGAAATGCTCTAGTTCCTACATCAGCCATGGTGTTCTTTTTCAAGGTCTTTATCCAGCCATGCTATCTGACCCAGTGCTCATCAAACAAAAAAACTCTCCTTATGAATGTGAATGTGTAAAGGTAGCGTTTTCTCTCTACTAAAAGTATTTCTTTTTTTATTGTTGTTTACATTGTATTATGTGGTACAGTTTTATAGGCATTGGGGATTCCCCCTACCCCTCCCAATATTTTCTACAATTAGCATAATCATATAGAGGAAATTTTAAAAGTAAGCAAATCACAATGAGATACAACTTGATATGCGTAAACGATAAGCACTGTTGACTAGAATGCAGAGAAATTGGAACCCTTGTGTGTAACTGATGGAATTGTGCATGTGTTGTGCAAGAGACAGTTCTTCAGAACATTAAATATAGAGATACCATATGAATCAGCAATTCCGAAGTGTGTACCTGCAGTTGAAGAACCTAGGAATCCTATCAGGTTCAATAATTGAGTAGAAAAACTCACAGAACTCAGAGAAGCTGTCCTACTCACAATTATGGTTTATTGCAGTGAGAGAATGCAGAATTAAAATAAGCTAAGGAAGTAGACACATAGGTAGAACTTGGTGCCAAAGAGACCAGGAAGGGAGCTTCCCGTTACCCTCTCCAAGTTCAGTCAAGCGGACCATGCTTATTTCTCCAGGTACAGTATGTTATATTGTACACAGGGTATTCTCAATGCAGCAAGTTCAGAAATCCTTAGTATTCAGATTTGATTTTAGCTGCTTAGACACAGCTGACCATGGTCAGCAAGGCTGACCTTAGTCTCTGATCCCTCCAAAGATCAGGATGATACTCTAAGGCCCAAAGCATCCACCATAAATCACATCATTAGCAGAAACTGACTTGGCCCAAGGCCTCTGGCTAACAGAAAGTACTCTTATCAGGTAGTGTGTTCCAAGGGCTTAGAGGTTGCTTCTCAGAAGCTAAGGGCAAAGGGCTAACCCTCTCTTTGGACATGATTAATACTTTGCTGCACAGTACCTAAGACAAATAAAAATATGTGTTCACGAAGAAATTCATGTGAATTCTCATAGCAGTACTCCTCTATAATAGCCAGAAAAGGGGGGGAAAAGACTCAAATATCAACTGATAAATCAACAAATAGTGTGTGAATGAATGAGTATTTGGGATCCATAAAAAGGAATAAAGTTGTAATTCATGTTACAACATGCATGACACGTAAAACATACCAAGTAAAAGAAGTCAAGCACAAATGACCACAAGTATATGATTTCAGTCATATGAAATGTCCAGAGAGGAAACATGTAAAGAGACAAAGGTAGAATAGTGGTTACTCAGGGCTAGGGTTGGGAACAGAGAATAACTAAAAATGGACATATTTCTTTAGTAGAGGTGATGAAGATGTTCTGGAATTAGATAGTGGTGGTGATTGTGCAGTTCTAAATACACTGAAAACCATTAAAATACATACTTAAAACAGGTGAGCTTTATAATTACATAAATCTCAAAATTGTAAATGTTAGCTGTCTCACAATGACAGAAGTGCTAGTTCAGTTAAAATTTTTTTTAAGAATTTTAAAAAGAAAGATGTTTTGAAAAGAATGGGCATAAATACCTCCTCTTGTCACCTTGGTAAAAATAAGGTTTTTATTTTTATGCATTTATTTTGATGCAAAAAGAATTTTTAAAGCCATGCATAGCTTTTCGGTTGAAAGGCTTTTTGAAATCCATTAATACATGTTTTCATAATATACATTTTGAAGACCTTTCATTTCATATACATGGATCCCAAAATTTTTGCAGCAAAATAAACTAATCATTTATTTCCTTTTTCTGTGAACTTTCTTATGTGTTTTAGAAAAGAGTAAATAGGAACTTGATGCCAGCATTCTATAGAGTTAAACCTGAGAGAAGTGATTTTTTTATTTGTATATGCAGTATGTATATATGTCTATATCTATGCTAGAGGCAGAAAGAATCATATAACAAAGTTCCATTGACTGATTCAGTCCCCAAACACCAACAACAACCAGGGCTAGGCTAGGCCAGATCCTGGAACCCCAAACTAAATCTGTGTCTCTCACATGAGTGATAGGGAGCCAACTACTACTTGAACCATCATCCGGCCTCCCAGATTTCATATTGGTAAGAAACTAGAATCCAAAATGAAGCCACAACTCAACTAAGCACCCCAACAGGAGATGTGTGCATCCCAGCTGGCATCTTACTTCTAGGTCTTACACCCATATCAGGTGATTTGTATTTAGCTTCTGGATGGTAATATTTTTATGTCATATGTCCAACCCCTAGGGAAATTCTTTTACATTTTCGTGTGTATGTTATTATATAACCCTATATCATACATTATATTAGCTATCGTAAAACAGCATTATGCCCAACACTTTCATCTTTTGCATAAGAATTCCTTTACTACCTACTTTTAACATTATTTAGAGATTTATTTTATTTGTTTGAAGAACAGAATGACTCAACGAGAAAGAAAGTCTTCTATCTACTATTTCACTGCCCCAAATGCCCACACTAGCCAGAGCTGGGTCAGGCCAAAATCAGGAATCCAGAGCTCAGTCTGGGTCTCCCATATGGGTGGCCTATCTTTCCAGGCACATTAGCAGGAAGCTGGATCAGAAGCACAGAGTATTTAGGACTTGAACCAGGCACTCTGATAGGACATGTAGGTTTCCCAAGCAGTAGCTTAACCTACTATACCACAAAGCCTGCCCTGCTACTTTTAAAATGTCTGACTATTTTCTTAGCCAAGGGAAAATGAAAGCTACCCATAAAAAAAGTATGTCTTGAGTTTTCATCATTCTTGTTTTCATGAGGCTTCTCAAACATGTGGAAGTTCTAAGGGTTACTTAGATATTGGAATTCCTGTGACTAGTTTAGAACTAATGGTTGCTCTGGTAGTAATACTGACTTTTCATTTTATTTGTTCAAAAACATTCTCTGGACAAGTTCTTATCCAATAGTTAACAGCAGTTCAACAGTTCGTGACATAGCTGCTGTCTTTTAAGACCTCTGAACAAGATTTTGACAGTTACAGTACTACTACAGGCACACTACTAGAAGCGCCATTATAGAAGCATACTATATAGATATAGATATGGTGATTCAGGGGACACAAAGACACTACATAGTTATTCATGGTTATTCCGTCAGAGAATTCATCTCAGAAAAATTTACAGCTTGAATTCTGGAGTTGAAACCCTAAGCAGGGGTGTGGGGGGGAGGTGTGCTGGGGACGCTGGCATTTTTAGTTTTCTGTTTTTGGTATTTTCCATAAGAACATACTACCTGAGTTACTTGAAAAGCATGTGTCGCGGTCTGTTTAGGACTAACTTTGTCTTTTGCTCCCTGAAAACTTTCAGTTTCAGCCCTGAGACATGGAGCTCTCCCTCTCCTCACAATTTTGACACCTCTGTTCTTCCTGTAGTGTTCCGTGAAAAGTTGTATCACTGCATTCCACGTTACCTGTGCCTTTGAGCACAACCTGGAGATGAAGACCACACTGGATGAAGGGGATGAAGTGAAATTCAAGTCATACTGCCTCAAGCATAGCCAAAACAGGCAGAGTCTCAGGGAGGCTGAGTTCCCCCCTTCTAGGGCCGCAGAGCAGAGCCAGGCCAAAGGCGAGAGAATCAGCCCGAGGGATCAGAAGCTTCGGGAGCTAGAGGAGGAATTCTATTCCTTTGTCCGCGTGGAAGACGTGGTGGAAAAGCTGGGGATGCCCACACTAGTTGTGGATTATATCTATAACTACTGGAAGCTGAAGCGCAAAAGTAATTTCAATAAGCCATTGTTTCCTCCGAAGGAGGATGAGGAAAATGCGCTGATACAGCCAAAAGAAGAAAACATTCACACCCGCATGCGAATGTTTATGCACCTCCGGCAGGATCTGGAACGGGTAAGGTGACCAACTGCGACTGATCTTAGTCTGTATACAAGTGGGGGGAGGGGGGGCCCATTCCCACTTGCTTCTGTTCAGATGTCATTGTAGCCCCAGACATTAGGCTGTTTACATTTTTGGCGGCCACATTCAGCAGATTGGACAGGCCTCATTTATATGCTCTAAACTTCAAGTCATGCAGATTCTCTTTTGGTTTACTTTTATTCACTTTTAAGCCTAAATTGACTCAACTATATTTTACTAATATACTTAGGAAACTAAATTTCATTCAGGGAAGTGTTAGATCAGGGTTTCTCAAACTCAGCACTGTGGACAATTTGGGCTGCATAGTTGTTGTAGGGCTGTCCTTTGTTGTAGAAAATATTGAGCAGCATCCCTAGCCTCTACTCACTAGATGCCTCTAACACCCCCCACATCCACGCACCCAACACAACAGCCAAAAATGTCTCCAAATTACCACCTGTTCCCTGGGGATCCAATCACCCCTGGTTGAGAGTCACTCCACCTAGATAATTCACCGTAACTCACCTCGATCATATCCACTAAATCAGCTGCTATGGGGGTTTAAAGATAAGTTATGCCCTGTGTTCATTCTAAAGAATTGCATAATTATAAACTAACTTGATTTGTTTCTCTGCTACCAAAATTTCTTTTTAAAGATGTATTTATTTTTATTTGAAAGGGAGACTTAAAGAGAGAGGAGGAGAGAGAGAAAGCGAAACCTTCTACCAGCTGGCAGGCTCCCCAAAAGGCCGCAAGGACCAGAGCTATGCCGGTCAGAAGCCAGGACCCTGGAACATCTTCCGGGTCACACACATCAAGCTACCAAAAATTGAAAGAAAATTGAGATATCTGGCTCACTTTCAAAAAGCTTAAGGTGTACCTGTGAAGTACTTATTTATTCTGTTGTAAACAGTGTTCTATTAATTATATAAAAATTAACTGATTAAATCCTAGTGTGCCTCTGAAAATATACTATTACCATACTTGTTATAAATATATTTATTTATTTTATTGGGAACAGAGTTTCAGACATATCTTTCATTTGCTGGTTCACTCCCCAAATGGCCGCAACGACCAGAGCTGGGCCAGTCCAAAGCCAAGAGCCCGGGGCCTCCTTTGGGTCTCCCACATGGGTACAGGGGCCCAAGTACTTGGGCAGTATACTAATGCTTTCCTAGACCACAAGCAGGAAACTGCATTGGAAGTGGAGCAGCTGGGACTCGAACTAAAACCCAGTGCCCACCCATATGGGATGCCGGCGCCACAGGCAAAGGGTTCAGCGTGCTGCGCCACAGCACCCACCCCATCCGTGTTTACAGGTGAATAAACTGGAGCACAGTATAAAAAGGAGTGAAGATTTCACTCATGTGGTTGTGGAAACTTGGATGAGCTGAAAGTATGAGCATAAAAACCACTTCCATTCTTCTCAGCATACTTTTATCCTGCTGGTCTGGCACTTCTTAGAAAAGTAGGTGTACTGGATCCAGCATTGCCATCATTTGTACTCAGGGATCCGAAGGAAAGGCTGAATTGGTAAAACTCTCAGTTGGCGTACCAAGCCCGGCTATTCAGATAAATGTTAATCCCAGGATACCACAGGTAGAGTAGGTTTCAAAAGACTATCGTGGAGCCTTTTGCTGGTGCTGCTGATTGATAATGGGCGCTATGATCCCACCATTGGCTATGCCATGCACATTCACACGGAGTGACTCTCATTGTGCAGCCCTTGGGTTCTCTTCACCAACTCCCCAGCCCCTCATCTGACTGCAGTTGTCTCCAGTTTAGCTAAACAACTTCAACTGTCCGATTGTTTAATATGATGAACGTCTCTGCTTGCTGGGCATTGGGCTTTCAGGTCCGAAATCTGTGCTACATGATAAGCAGACGTGAGAAGCTGAAATTATCACAAAACAAACTACAGGAACAAATCTTCGATTTGCAAGTCCAGCTTATTAACCAAGAAATTGCTGCAGGTAACCTGTATGTTCAAGATGTACTAATATATAAGTCAACTCTGGTTTAACCTGTTTTAACAATTTTGATTGAATGCCAATTGTTTACACTGAAATTTCTTTAAAAAAATTTTCATCCAATATATCATTTGCTTCCATCCAGTACTACTATAGCATTGTAGTATCAACTCATAAGACAAGAAATCCCACGGTGAGGTTGAGGATATTGCAGCTCTAAGACAGATGACACACTGTGGACTCAGAACTGCGCTAGAAGATAGAGCAGTTAGCAAGACTGAATCCTCAGTGTGACATACATTGCTTACTTGCTGAGAAAAACAGGACAGCATAATGATAGCGCCTTAGGCATGGGGAGCTTGTCTGGAATGACAACAGTCAATAGTGAGCGATACCTGCAACCTCACTGTGTCTCATTTAACACAAATGGGTGGCAGAGCCTGCATAACTAGAGGTCACCAGGCAGGATGTGCAGAATCACTTCCTGCCATGTGCCAGCCACAGAGCAGAAGGAATACTCAGAAGTGAAGTGTCGGGTAGACTGTACAGGCTCTGAGGGTATCTGTTAGTGGCAAATGCCACAGAGTGGCATACAACAGCCCAGCAGGCCTTTCCAACTACGGGAGCAACATGACAGACAAAACAAGCAGAACCAAAGGGCAATAAGGAAGAGTTCCCTCATCCCCTACATGCTGAGGAAATTGGTTCCTAGTCACATGGCTTCTGATTGATAAGAGCCAGCCTCTCTACAGCTTGCCTAGTTTACCCTTGGCAGAATTGGAGCAGTAGATGTTCAACACGGACCCTCCAGGATTTGGGACACCTAAAAGATGTCCTCTCAGTATTTTATTTTTGAGCCTAGGATAAGATGGTAATTGGAAAAGGTCAAGTAATATGCAGAGGAATCCTTTGGTAGTGTTTTTTGTTTTGTTTTTGTCTCTTCTTTGCTTGGGGTTTTTGTGGGGTTGTTTTGTTTTGTTTTGTTTTGTTTTGTTTTGTTTGAGTTTCAGAACACTGAGAATAATAGAGGAAGATCTAGCCTGTGACTGTACAGTCACATTACCAGGTAGCTGCCTGCTAGTGCTCCCCAGGCCACACTTGTTGCCAGCCGTTCGCGGAAATAGGATTCTTTTATGCTTGACGTACCACGGCAATATCTTTTCCACAGCTCCAAAAATTTGTGGTCAGGGTGTTATTCTAGGTTGAGTTCCTAAAATCTACAGGTACTTGTAATGCCAGGTCAAAATGCATAACACACCACATCTGCACTAGCATAACCTGTGCTGCATTTCTGAATGTTTATATGGGGTTTGCTTTAGGGAGGCCTGTAGATGTCAGAGGAGGGGATCTGGAACATCTGAGCTTAAGGCACGTGCTAAGTTCTTGGTAACACCCACATATGCACACACACATGGAGGAGATGCTATTATATATAGCTAGTGATGCTGTGTTTGGAAGTGGGAACAGGCAGATTTGCAGCTGCAGGAGATGCTCTGTGTTCGTTTTTATGTCCTGAGAGAGCTGAGAACAGATTGGAAACATTACCATACAGCAGACAGTAGTAGTGCTAAGTTTTCATCTGAACCACTCACAGTTGCAACCTCTGGTTCAGCTTACTGTGGCTAGCAGGCTCCCCCGTGGTCTACCTCCCTATTAAAGGCAGGGGGCTCCTGAGATATTTTGAAAAGTAAAAGTATACATGTGCCCCTAATTCTGCTATAAGCACAGACTGTTTCTTAAATAAGTTGCTAAAATGAATCTTTTCTTTTTGAACTCAGGACTTCCTTTGACAATTACACCAGAAATCTCTCTGTTCTACCCACCACCAAGAATTACCTTGAAGTTAAAAATGCCCAAATCAGCCGCAGAAGATTGCCGAAATGGCTCCATAGAGACTGACCACCAGTACTGCTCTCGTGACAGCACCTCTTCTGCTCAGGACATAAGAAGCCTGCAGGCCCTTCAGGAGTCTCTGGAAATGAGAGTGCAGTCACTCCAAAGGCTTCCACAAGAGAGCAAGAATAACTGTTTGCCAGCCACTCTCAGCCATTCCAGAAGTGGAACCAAGGATTCCAGCCCCAGCTGGAGAAGTTCAGCTTTGGAGTTCCACCACGGGCAGGCACAGGGAAAGCCTATAGTTCTTCAGGAAGCCATCCAGGGACAGTCTTCCATTGGGAATGGGAAAAGTCAGCCGGGTGCCAAGTTTGCTGTATCTAATGGCCTGGAGGGCAGCTGGTCTGGGAATGTCTCCCAAACCAACAGCTCCCAGGAGATGTTCTCTAACCAGGAGACCATGAGCACCCCCAACTTGGCTAGTCAATGCAGCTTTAGAAAATCCACTGTGGATCACTTCAGCAGGTCTTTTAAAGAGCCCACCAAAAGGTGGGTGAAGTCCAATGAGGACCTCCAGTGCTACATGAAACCAACTAAGCATGTGACCCCCAGGGAACAGTTCTGGGATATGCAGGTTCTCAGGCAGTCTGCAGAGCAAGCTCCCTATAATGAGAATGAGAATGATGGGTATTGCCCAGATGTGGAGCTGAGTGATTCAGAAACAGAAAGTGATGGAAATAGAGGAAAAGTCAGGGTAAAGAGAGAGAGCTCAGATAGGGAGAATCCTCCCCATGATTCCAGACGACGGGAGTACCATGGTAAAAGCAAGGCACATTCCTTTTCCCACAGTTCAACACAGAGGTGATGAGACACTCTGAAATGATGATGCGGCCTTTTCCTTTGTCCCATAAATTGGGGAAAGCCTGTAGACCAAAAGCATTCCTAGTGTATGTTAGAGGGAGTTGAGAAAAGAATGAGAATTTTCCATGGTAAATTTGCTTGCAGTTTTTTGAAAAGATCACAAGTCTCATTTTCACAAGCACATTACAAAAATTGCACATTGTCCAGAGGTTGGTTTGTCAGAGGTTATTGGGAATAGCTGGGCCCAGAGTATTTGTCAAATAAATACAGGACAGCTTTCCAATTACATTAACACATTGACAAATACATGTATCAAGAGTCCTTGCATCACTAACAGATTTGCAAGAGACCATGATTACCAGACACTAAAACTATTTAACTTTGACAACTACAACATGTGACTCTGAGATCTCCTGTCTGTAGTAAGTTTCTAACTCCACTGGTATCTCTAAACTTTAGAGGGGAGACCAGGAGGATGACTCTCGGATACTGTCAAACTCACTACCCTCTTCCTTTGCTCTGTGCAAGGTTGAGTTCCTTTCACAGTATCTTGACATGTACTGACTCAATATTGCTACTGCCTACCAAGTGTCCAGTGCCTGTTCCTAGAGTTGCTTGTTGGGAACGCACTCATAACTGTTGTATTTCATACAGCTAACAAGTGTAAGAGGCTAACTTGTTGATAGTGTTTACAGAAGTACGAAAGTACTCCTTTCAAGGAAAATGCTCTGATTCTCTGTCTGGTCTTTTGTGAGGAATCCCAGAGCCTTTCCCAAAGTTGAGATTGCTAGGGTATTTGTACCAGGTCAGGGGTTTTGTGTTGTTGTTTTCAAATCAATTTGACTAAAATTAGTTTGGCTGACAGTTTTTGTATACCTGCTTTAATGTTTATAAAGTTTTTATTGAGGTATAATTAAATATAAAGTGCACAGAGGTTAAGTATTCTTACCTGCTTTAATTTTGAAACAGATTTTTATTGTCAAACAGAATTTGAAAGCATGTGTTTAACACATGGATATAATTTAGCTTTGTAGCAATTTTGAATCCAAGGCAAGTTCCCAAACAGAAAAGCTGGAGCCATTTTTTCAGAAATTGCTTATTACTCTGTTCCCAAACTATTAGCCTTGAAGAATTTTTGGGAGAAAGAGAATAATTGTATTTGGGGAGGGTGAATAAAAACATGTCTGCTTCCCATTTAAAGAAAAGAGAAATGTTGCAGGTTTTAGAATGTGAAGCAGAATATGAGTCTCAGCTCTCTTTTCTTCTTAGCCTTAAGTTAATATTCTCTTTCTTCTGGTTTGGGAAAGTGTAGTAGTTATAACATTTTTGGACCAAAAAAAAAAAAAAAAGGTCACATTGAATTGTTAAAAGTTTCTGACTGGGGCAACCAGCCTAAGTGCCAGTCAGTCAAGCAAGGGCCCTCTCGCCATCCATATGGAAAACTGGGAGTTCCTCCCCGCCAGCTGCCACTCGGCTTTTGTCCATAAAGCCTTGTGATGGGGTTCCTTTGCTTTTTGCTCTCCTGTTAAATCGTGTGTATTTTGCTTCTCCCTTGACCACAAATTTGAAAATTGCTTCTGTGCCTATGTATGTGTGTGAACATGCCATAGCATGTTACAGGTGTCCTGTATTTTGTTTGAATGGAAAAAGCTATGAAAATTATCCAACGGAGGAAGAGCCTTTCCCCCGTTGGTGCACTAGATTTCTATGCTTTGTTCTTGCATTCTCCCGGGTAACTGTGCATTTGGCACCTTCATGGAAATGAGATTCTAATGGAGCTATGTTGTAAACTCCTTATCTCAGAGGCCAACGCAAGAGCCGGGCTGCTTTCATGCCGTGCAGTTCCAAGTGAGAGGAAGAGCAGCCATCAGAAGAATGCTTCAGCCAAAATCCATAAGTGTCATCATTGGGAGAGGATTGACTACAGATCATTCCAGTCAGGGAAATAGAGTTATGATATTTTTACAGGATTTTCCTAGGTAAATGAAGGAGCCTTTCTGTTACCCCAAAATACGTTTGCTACGTTTTCTTGTTATTTGAAGTATTACCTCTAAAGCTTCTTTATTAATTTCTTTTCATTTTGTCTTATATGGCCCCATTTTCCAAGATAAACTCGGTCTTTTTTCAGCTGTCTCCTTTTTACCAATACTTTTTCATTAAATTATGAAAACTGCTACCTGCTGTCAGTGTGCTAATTGTGTATGTTGGTGAATTGGTTTTTAAAGAGCTGGTATGTGTCTTTATATATTTTTAAAAGATGTATTCAGTTTTTTAAAAGGAGGAAGGGGAGGAAAAACAAAAGTTCTAGAAGCACAAATTTCATGATTCATGTCAATACCAGGGGACAAAGAGAATGCTGACTATTTTTATTCCATCCAGAATGCATGATGCAGAATGCTCCTTAATAAACCTTAAAAAAAAAAAGACTACAATCCTAACTTTTTAAAGATTTATTTTATTTTTATTGGAAAGGCAGATATACAGAGAGGAGAGACAGAGGAAGATCTTCCGTCCGATGATTCACTCCCCAAGTGAGCACAACGATCGATACTATGCCGATCCGAAGCCAGGAGCCTCTTCCAGGTCTCCCGCGCAGGTGCAGGGTCCCAAAGCTTTGGGCCGTCCTCGACTGCCTTCCCAGGCCACAGGCAGGGAGCTGGAAGGGAAGCGGGGCTGCCGGGATAGAACCAGCGCCCATATGGGATCCCGGGCGTGCAAGGCAAGGACCTTAACCACTGTACCACCGTGCCGGGCCCTACAATCCTAATTTTAAAATGACCAGACACATGGATCCTATCTCTTCTATCCTATCTTTTGATCAGACTCCACAAAGTGAGGCATCATTGACATGGATATTCTATTTTTTTCTCTAATTTTATTTTTGGTGTTTGCATAGTTGAGAGGATGTGCCCATGAGGACCACTGGTGACAGTGGGAAGGGTCGAGAAAAAGGAAGGTAGATGAGACCATTGTTTTCCATTTTCTTTTTTCTTCCTGTATCTGGGGAAAGTGGGGAGAGAAGGGAAGAAGCTGCACCCAGCATCCCAACCACATCAGTACCCAGGGATGGGGAACGGTCACCGGAAATCATTCAGGGTTCCCAGTATGGAGCATGTTCCAAGGGTACTGCTCAAGTGGTTTTGATAGTTCTGAGATGCAATTAATTTCGTTGCTCCAAGGATGAGGAAATCCTTCCAAGGTCCATTGGCCCAGATACTTGTCAGTGCTTGGCTGGGAGAGTTGTTTCAATTTGTTCGGCCCTCCATCCTCTGCTAAATGTTCTCTGGAGGCCCCAGTGAACTGTCTAATCCCCCTTGTGCATATGAGCATGCCATCCACTGCTCCGTCTTCAGCAACTGAGGTGGCCCAGTTCTGCACATGCAGTCCATGGTCAGACAACAGATCCTGTAGTTTTCCCTGTAGTTGGAGTTCTGAGTTCGGTGGTTCACTTGGGAGGGTCCCCAAAGAACCCTTATCTGAGATGACCTCAGACCTGACTCCTGTGTGTGCCAGCCATTGTGGGGTCCAGCTACGTCCATCAGCACATCAGCCTGCACACACACTGGTGGTTGCAGTCACCTGGTCAGTTCTGTCTCCAGCCCCATCTCATACACAAACCAATGGATGGTGCAGCCTGGCCCAACCCTGATACCACACACTCAGCCCTCAAGTGCAACAGCGTGAATTGCAGCCCAGCTGGAGTAACCCCCAAAAACCCCCACCAGGCCCATCACCAGCCCTGATTTCTGTGTATGATGTATGTGCAACAGACTGGTCCAGTCCAACATCCCATTCAGCTTTTGTATATACCAATGGGTACTGCAGCATAGCTCATCACAACCAACCCCACTTTCCAGCCCACACTTAATGCTAGTGGGTGCCTCCAGCTGTCCAGCCAGGTCCACTCCCAGGTCTGGTTCTTATGCTCATTGGTGGGAGCTGCAGCCCATCAGGGGGATGCCCACAAGTTCCCTAACAGACCTGCTCCCAGTCCTGGATCTTGTACTTTCCAGATGGTTCTGCAGTCTACCTTGACAAGATTTGCCCCCATTTCCAGCCCCTGCAAGCTGACAGCAAAATCCAGCCATTCTGCACTTACTCTGGCTCATGCCTGCACCAGTGGATACAGTTGCTTAGCCCAGCCTGGCTCTCCCCCTAACCCAGCTCACATGCAGATTTAATGAGTGTTGGAGTGCTACCCAGCCTTGTCTGACCCAGGTCCCAGCTCTCACGTTCACCAGCGGAAGCAGTATCCCAGAAGGGGAGTCCTCACTGTCCCCCACCAGGCTCACCCTCCACCCCGAGTGTTATGTGTGGTGGGTGCTGCAGCCCAGTCTGGCATGGCCCACTTTACCTCGGCATTTGCCAGCGAGTGCTGCAGCCTGGCCCAGTCTGGCCTGCCTCCAATCCCAGCTCATGCTGGTGAATTCACATAGATGTTCTTTACAATATTCATTTGGAATCCTGTGCTCATATGAATGTCAAAGAGATTACACAATGTCATAGGAAGACTTTGAAGAAATAATGATTTTCATGATGTTTGAGAACCATGCTTGCCGAAGGTCATTAGGTAAATCAGTAGCGAAGACAGATAAAAGGTGAGATACTTTTCCTAACCTGTGCCTCCCTCCCCCTCCCCTGCCTGTTAATGAGTAACTGTTTTGTCTCGATCAAATGTTAGGTAAAATGCTAGAAAACTGAAACTATGAATACACACTGTTAGGGCTGCCAAAAAGCTATTGGATTTATCCCAATAATGTGTACGTTTCCAATGGGGAGGAAGCAACTTCTAAATTCAGAAGATAAACCAGAAGATGCACACTCCTGAGTTCCCTTCCCACCTCCCAAAACTTTAAAATCCTCGCATGTTTGCTCAGCCTTAAGAGTGTAGGCAAAAATATGTATGTGAGAGAAATAAACACTTCTTCACCACTGACTAACTTGCACACAGTAGCTTCCCTCCTTCCCACCCCCAAAATAGCACAACAAGTTGTATTAGATTTTCATGATCTCAAGTCAGCTCTTCTGTTTTATAGAAAACAGTGATTGTGTGGTGATTTTTTTTAAAGTAATTTTTAGTTGATCGAGACTCATGCTGTGGCAGGCACATTGCAGGTAGCTTCGTGGCACTGGGTCTGGCACCAGGAAATGGAGGCTCCTGTGAACCGTGTTCATTCTACTTCGTGACGTGGCACTGGGGAGGCTGACCCCAAGTATGCCCTGCTCTATGCACTGATGGTTTCCTTTGAATCCCTGAACACATGAACCATCTTGATGAAGTCTCAGCGCATTCTGCCCTTTCTCATCTGGTTAAGATGCATTCGGGTATGAGCACTCCAAGATCAATAACTGAGCACCCAAAACTTTCTACAGAAGAGTTAGAAGATATTCCTTCTGCTGATTCACTCCCCAAGATGTCTTCAACAGCCAGTATTGAGACCAGGCTGAAGTCAGGAACTCTTCTCTGGGTGACCCCATGGGTGGCAGGACCCCAAGACATCTTCCTCTGCCTTCTCAGGCACATTAATAGGGAACTGGAGCAAAAACAGTTGCAGGAACTCAAATTTTTGCTCATATGGAATGCCAGTGACACAGGTGGCAGCTTAACCAACTGTGCCGCAACACAGGCCCCCACCACCTCAAGCTTTAAATGTCCCTCCCCTCCAGTCTTCATTCTTTCTACCCACCTTCTCAGTTTCATTCATCAAAACTGAATAACACATTATCAACCACCTGAAAAAATGGAATTGGCTGTTTAAGTTGAACTAATATTACATAGGTAATCTGAGTTTGAAAAAAAAAAAAAAAAAACTTGGTATTTGCAAGAAAAAGGCTTCCCATCAAGGCCAGCATTGTGGCCAGCATCCTGGTTCCAATCCCAGTTGCTCCACTTCTGATTCAACTTCCTGCCAATGGCCTGAGAAAGCAGCAGAGGAAACCCAGGAACTTGGGGTCCTGTACCCACATAACAAACCTGGGTGGATTTCTGGCTCCTGGCTTTGGTCTGAGCCATCCCTGGCCAGTTGCAACCATTTGAGGGATGAACCAAGTGGATGGATGATCTCTCTCACTTGCTCTCTAACTCTGCACTTCAAATAAATAAATATATATTTATATAAATAAATATATATATATCTTGCCATGATGTAATGAAGTTGCTTTGGAAACTCATACATAGAAATGGATCTTATTTTGGATTTATTTCTCACATGATGAAACAAACTTCATTCTAAAAATGGCTGAAATTGTTAAAATTATAATCTTGGAGCTCTGCCATGGCAAAATAGATTAAGCCTCTGCCTGTGGCACCAATATCCCATATGGATGGTTTTAGTCCCAACTGTTTTGTTTTACTATTGATCCAGCTCCCTGCTAATGAGCCTGGGAAAGCAGCAGCAGATGACTCAAGTGTTTGGGACCCTGCACCCATGTAGGAGACCCAGAAAAAGCTGCTGGATCATGGCTTCAGACCAGCCCAACTTCAACCTCTGCAGCTATTTAGGGAGTGAATCAACAAATCTCTCTCTCTCTCTCCTCTTTATAACTGGCTTTCAAATAAAAATAAGTCTGTTATTTTAAAATATTTATTCATTTATTTTGATTTCAAAGTCAGATATACAGAGAGGAGACAGAGAAGATTTTCCATCTGCTGATCCATCCTCCCTGCCTGTGGCCTGGGAAAGCCTTGGGACCCTGCACCCCTGTGGGAGACCTGGGAGAAGTTCCTGGCTCCTGGCTTCAGATCAGTGCAGCACCGACCATTGTGGTCACTTGGGGAGTGAATCATCAGACGGAAGATCTTCTTCTCTGTCTCTGCTCCTCTCTGTATATGTGACTTTGCAATAAAAATAAATAAACCTTAAAAAAAAAAAAAAAAACAGGCCAAGCTACAGAGAGAAAAAGAGGGAGGGACAGATCTTCCATCTCCAGGTTTGCTTCTGAAATGACTACAACAACCAGGATTAGGCCAAACTAAAGCCAAGAGCCAGGAGCTTCAACCAGGTCTCCCACATGGGTACAGGGTCCCAAGGACTCGGGCCATTCTCTGCTGCTTCCCCGGGTGCATTGGCAAAAAGCTATATCAAAAGTGAAACACCCAGGGCTCCAAAGCGGCACTCATGGGATGCCAGTGTTGCACACAGAGGCTGTTACGCCACAACACTGGCCCCACGTTCCCTCTTTTCATCTCAGCTTTTCTACTTTCCAAAATGGGATTTCCGGTTAATGTTTCCCCTCCTTATGATTATGCAAACAGAGGTAGCCACAGGGGTAAGGCCAAGGATGATGTGAAGACTGTGTTGGTTGTACAATCCTGTGGCCGACCCACACAAACACTGACAAGTGCTGCAGCCTTGCCTGGTCTGGCCCACCCCCAGCCCTGGCTCTCGTTCACCCCAGTGGAAGTTATGGTCTAGCAGGGGCTTCCCCAAATTCCTCTACCAAGCCTGCTCCCAGCCCTGGATGTCAAGTGTGCCAGCAGGGACAGTGGTCCTGTTTGGCATAGTATGCCCCCAGTTCCTGCCTTTGCATGCGCAGGTAAGTGCTGCAGCCTGACCCAACCCAGCCTTCTAATCCAGCTCCTGTGTCAGGTGGATTCCTAGAGGTAAATTCTGTGATCCAGCCAGCTCGGCTCATCACTACCCCGAGCTCTCCAAGTAAACCAGTGGGGGCTGCAGCCCCATAGAGCCAAACCCACAATTCCCCTGCAGAATCTGCCACCAAGGTTGGCTCTCTTGCTTTCTGGTGGATGCTGTGGTCCAGCCTGACATGGCCTATCCCTCGCTCTGACACTCCCGGACTAGTGCTGCCCCAGCTTTTGTGTGCACCAGCAGATGGTGGGTGATGCTATTTAGCACAACACAGTTCTCCCACTTGGGTGAGTGCCTTGACCTGATCAACTCAACATGCCTGCAAGTTTCCCTACCTCCCCAAACCACTTCATCTCAGCAACCTTCACCTACCTGCAAGTGCAGTGGCCCGGGGCTATAGAAGACCCCAAATGTAACACCCTCCCTAACAAAGATGCTCTCAGCTACCCCCATTCCAATGTATCCCCAGGCAATTTGTAGCACCTGCCCCTTCCCTGACCCCGCCTCAGGGATAGGTGGTGAGTTCCTGCCAGGAGTTTCCCACCTTGCCCAATTATAAGAAGAAGAAGAAAGGAGGAGGAAGAGGAGAAGAAACTATGCTGGCATACTGGTATAGTTAACACAAACTTGGCATTAACCAGGCCCAGAATGCCCACCAGCTACTGGTTGCTTTTCTCCCAGCAGTGTAACACTTGCCTAGGTACAAGGCAACCTAGGCAGCTGCCTACAGCTGGGGCATACTTAGCCTTTTAAAGTGTTAATTTCATATTTTTCTGAAGCTGGTTCCCTCTGAATATTTTTTTCCTTCTCTTTTAATCCCCTTGGGTACCTTAAAAGATTAACTGATAAAAAAACATTCAGTTCTTATGTGTATCCTCTAGAAAGATCTTGTTCAGCCAGATAAACTTGAAAGTGTCTAAAGTCGGGGGGTCGGGGGGATGGAGGAAACATCAAAATCTGTTTTATGTTGTGGATACTGAAAACTATGTTTACATAATAAACAGACTTTGTAGTTACAGTTATGACCCAAAATAATGTAATTCCAAGATAAAAGAGACTTTTTAAGATTTGTTCTTTACTTGAAAAGGTGAAGTGACAAAGGGAGAGAGATTTTTCCATCCACTAGTTGACTCCCCAAATGTCCACAACAGCTGAGGGTGGACCAGGCTGAACCCAGGAACCAGGGACTCCATCCAGGTCTCCCAAGCAGGTGGCAGGGACCCAAGTATTTGGGCCATCTTCTTCTAGCTCCACATGGGAGTAGCTGGAACTCCCAAACAGCACTCGGGTGTGCAATACTGGTGTTGTAGGTGGTGAGTTAACCCTCTGTAACACAATACCAGTCTCAATGAAGAAGACCTTTGAGTATGAATAAATTTTTTTAAGTCGGTTTACCATTGTGTCAAAAAATAATATAAGCACAGTAACTTGGTTTATAAAAATCAGTATTGGGGCTGACACATTGGTCAGGATCCCACATGGGTTCCAGTTCATGTCCAACTCGCTGCTTATGGCCTGGTAAAGCCTTGGGACCCTGAACCCACGTAGGAGACTCAAAAGAAGCTCCTGGTTCCTGGTTTCAGATTGGCTCAGCTCTGGCCATTGCAGTCACTTGGGGGGCGAACCAGTGGATGGAAAATTATTCTCTGTCTCTTCTTCTCTCTAAGTCTGCAATCCCAATGAAAATAAATAAATCGCTTTTAAAAATCAGGGTTGGGGCTGGCACAATGGCTCAACTGGCTAATTCTCTACCTGCAAGCACTGGCATCCTATATGGGTGCCAGCTCATGTCCTGACTGCTCTACTTCCAATCCAGCTTCCCACTTATGGCCTGGGAAAGCAGCAGAGATGGCTCAAATCCTTGGGACCCTGCACTCACGTGGGAGACCTGGAAGAGTTCCTGGCTCCTGGCTTTAGGTGGGCTCAGTTCCAACCATTGCAGCCATTTGGGGAGGGGGAGAGGGGAGTGAATGAGTAGATGGAAGATCTTTTTCTCTCTCCTTCTCTCTGTAAATCTGCCTTTCCAATAAAAATAAATAGATCTGAAAGAAAGAGAAAGAAAGAAAGAAAGAAAGAAAGAAAGAAAGAAAGAAAGAAAGAAAGAAAGAAAGAAAGAAAAAAGAAAAGGGGCCCAGCGGTGTGGCGTAGTGGCTAAAGTCCTCACCTTGAACGTGCCAGGATCCCATATGGGCGCTGGTTCTAATCCCAGTAGCCCCACTTCCCATCCAGCTTCCTGCTTGTGGCCTGGGAAAGCAGTTGAGGACAGCCCAAAGCCTTGGGACCCTGCACCCACGTGGGAGACCTGGAGGAGGTTCCTGGCTCCTGGCTTCAGATCGGCACAGCACCGGCCGTTGCGCTCACTTGGGGAGTGAATCATCAGACGGAAGATCTTCCCCTCTCTCTCTCCTCCTCTCTGTATATCTGACTTTGTAATAAAAAATAAATAAATCTTTAAAAAAAAAAGAAACAGATACCAAATATTACTTGTTGACATTATTTTTGTTCTTGTCCCTAAAATGGAACTGACCTTATCAAGCATAAATTCAGGAAAAGTAGAGAGTGGACAGAATTTCAAAACCACAATTCTCAAAGCTCCATGCGCTAGGTTATCGCCATTCTCCTATATGGCAGTAAGACCTGTCCCCTCCAGGAGTCACGAGCTATCGCTTTCCTGTTAGTAACAGAGTTCGCCATGCATTTAGGAGATAGTTGCAATCCTAGATGCTACTGATGACAAGATCCCTGCAGGGGACTCACACACTACCTGTGCCTTCATCACCGACAGTATGAGCTCCATGATCTGCCTTGAGACCCAGTGGGAATGACAGTACGGGGTCTGTTAGCAAATGAAATGATCAAAGTCCATGGTATTGATCCTTCAGTCCATGATTCCTAACTTCAAACCTGTTTATTGCTTGGTCCTGATTACCGGGTACTTGTTCCATTGGGACATTTTAAATGAAGATTTCTCAGGAACTTTCCAGAAACTGCTGATTGCAGAAGTGGACTGCTTCAGTCCAGAGTTCATTTCTTGATTGTTCAACAGCCATGCTTTGCCCGTGGTCACTCATGTGGCTGATTGTACTTGACATGCCCCTGCAGCCCACTGGAAGGTCCCTCCATCTATTATCCTTTCTCTTCATCCTATGACTTTTGACCCCTGACAGTCTTATCCCACTTAAGGAATTCAAGCATTCTGATGCGTTTTTCTTAGACCATAGCTGCTGCCCTGATTTAACTGAGTTCACAAAAAAATCTAATCATTGTCCCTTGAACACTTGAGAAAGCACACTTCCTATGTGTGGGTCCCTTAAGAGCTGCCTTCACATCAGTAATCTCAAACTTTGGTCTCATAAAAATTATCTGTGGACCTCAGTTGTCCTTTGACCTCAAAATTGTTCCTGGCATCTGCTGATATTATTACTTACAATCCTATTAATAAATTCTTGCTCATCAAAAATGAGAGCTAATACTGGGGCTACACCTGATTTGCCCTGTTCTGCTTTTCAGGAACTGCTGAACACTCAAGGAATCTGATCACTTCAAGGGACATGGCACTTGCTCATGCCCGATGATCCGTATGCTCCTGGTAGTCTATGTGCCACCAGAATAGCTAGTACACAGAGAGATTTCAAAAAGTTGGGGAAGGGGCAATTCCAAGGTCTAGTAGGTTAAACCTTTGCCTGCATCATTGGCAGCCATTTTGGCGAGTGAGCCAGTGAATGGAAGATATCTCTCTCTCTTCCTTTCAAATAAAAAAATATATATATCTTTTTTTGAAGTTTGTAGGGGGAGGTACTGATGCCATGGCATAGTAGACTTAGAATGGTGCTAGTACTGGTATGCTATATGGGCACCAGTTCATGTCCCAGGTGCTCCACTCCAGTGGCCTTGGAAAGCTGTGGAGGATGGCCCCAACTTTTTGTCTACAGCCATGTAGAAGACTCAGAAGAGGCTCCTGCTCCTGACTTCAGATTGGCTTGGCTCTGGCTGTTGTGGCCATTTGGGGAGTGAACCAGCAATTGGAAGATCTCTTTGTCTCGATGTCTTTCTCTGTTATTGCCTTTCCAACAAAAACAAATCTTAAAAAAAAAAGTTTGTGAGGAAAATGAAATTAACACTTAGGTTTGTTTTGGTGCAAAAGAAATTGAAATCCATCCATACAAGGGGTCTTCAAAAAGACCAAAATGACCAAATGTCACCCTATCCTGGCTCAGAGGAGTGAATCATGCTTCTTTCGGCCCTTTCGTTCTCCTTACCTTCCAGATTACAACTAAAACAATCTCAGAATTACCCCCTATAGCCCAGCAGAATCAAATCCTTGTATTCTGCCCAAATCACTGGATACAAAGCCATATCCTATAACCTATTCTTTGAATAACCCTGTTAGTGGGCTGTTCCCACAGTTTCCAATAGCGTTTGTTCCTCCATCCTGATTGCAAAGTATGGATGACTTTAAATTTGTTGCACTGCAGGTGAACTTTGAATGAAGGACATTGACATTTAGATTATAAGTAAACATCTGAGAACCACCTTGTAGAGAGAGACCACCAAACCAATGGTTCTCCATGTGGGTGATAAGCGGTGCCATCAAGTGTAAAGATGGGTCACAGTATATGAGCAGCTGGTCAGAGAGCCAGGTGAGTCAGTGGAGGCTTGCGGAGCAAGGGGACACGCAGCTGGATCTGAGATTGGCACCAACCCCAAGCACAGGTAGAGAGGATGGATTAGTGGTGGGAGAAAAGCATTGTCAATAGAGAGAATAGCAAGCTCAAAAGGCAAGAAGCAGCTGGTGTGGCTAGAATTTGACAGAATTCAAGAATGAAGGGTCGACAGCTGAATAGTACCCTACATTCATTTTAAGGTGTATAGCTGCCGGTGGTGTACAAGCTAAAATTGAGATGTCAATGAAGTAGTCACAGGATGTGGTTAAGAACTTGCATTTTCTAACATATCAGTCACTCAATACCATGTCAATTAACTCCATAATGTTGTAAATTGTTGTTGATGTTATGTTGTGGCTTTTCATTGGTCGGGATGATATTCTGCCAGCTCTGCTTTCAGACCAGAGATGGTCTCCCCAAGAAACTGTTGAATTGATCTGGACAATAAGATGCTGGACTCTATGCATGGTACATGCTTGCAATGAAAGAAGCATGACTGGATTTGAACTGTAATACTGCAACAAGGTGGAGGAATCCACCATGGGGGGTGGTACGGGGAGGGGCTGGGGGAATCCCAGAGCCTATGAAACTGTGTCATAAAATGAAATGTAATTAATTAAAAAGAAACAAAGAAGATTTAAAAAAAAATGAAGGGTCTTTCATGTTCTTGGCTCCACTGAAAGATAGTGTCATTAGGTTGCATTTTGTTGTTCTTTTTTAACTTTTTTTTTTGTTGGAAAGGCAGATTTACAGAGAAAAGGACAGAGAGATCTTCATCTGTTGGTTCACTCCCCAAGTGGCCATAATAGCCAGAGCTGAATTGACCTGACCCGAAGCCAGGAACTTCTTCTGGGCCTTTCATGCAAGTGTAGGATCCCCAAGGCTTTGGGCCATTTCCTGCTGCTTTTCCAGGCCATAAGTAGGGCACTGGATGGGAAGTGCAGCAACTGGGACATGAACCAGCACCCAAATGGGTTACCAGCACTTGCAGTGGGAGAATTAACCAATTGAGCCATCATGCCAGCCCCTGGGTTGCATTTTCCAAAGATTCAATAACATCATCTTGTGATCCAAGCTAACAAGTCAACTTTATTTCCCTCCCACTGCTGAGGGTACAGCATCACTTTTGTAGTAGTGTTAAAAAGTATAACCAGAACTAACCATGAGGCAAAATCAAGTTATCTCAAATTAGTGATATACTACATTAAATATATATATGTACATGTGTATATATATATACACACACATATATGTATATATATATACACACACACACACACACACACAATGAATGTATGTATTTCTTTAAAAGGCAGAATGACAGACAGGTAGAGAGAGGGAGGGAGAAAGAGAGAGAGGGAAAGAGTGCTTTCCAAATAGCTCAACAGCCTGGCTGAATCAGGCCAGTGCCAAAAGTCAGAAACTCCATCCTGTCCCCCCACATGGGTGGCAGGAGTCATTAGACTATTAGCCACTGTCTCCAAGTGCATCAGCAGGAAGCTGGATCAGAAAAGAGGCAGCACTGTGATCAACAGGATACTAATGTCCCAAGTGACGGCCTAACCCTCTGCACTCACAATCCCAGTCCCACAGTCTACATTTTGGACTCCAAAAATGTTAATGTTTTGAAACAAAGAAAAGCTGAGGGGCCTGGCGCAATGGCTTAGTTGGCTAGTCCTCCCCCTTCAAGCGCTGAGATCCCTTATGGGTACCAGTTCATGTCCCAGCTGCTTTGTTTCTGATGCAGCTTCCTGCTTTGAGATCCTGCACTCACATGGGAGACCTGGAAGAGGCTCCTGGCTCCTGGCTTTGGATTTGCTCAGCTCTGGCCATTATGGCCACTTGGGGAGTGAACCACAGAATGGAAAATCTTCCTCTCTGCCTCTCCTTCTCTCTGTAAATCTGACTTTCCAATAAAAATAATTAAATCTTTAAAAAGAAAAAAAAAAAAACAGGAATTCTTCCAAATGAAAGGTGACTGAAGACAGCCCCAATGTCAAGCCTTCGTTCCCAGATGAGATTAAGGCATGAAGTGCTGTTTTCTTTTTACTCCTTAGGTTATAAGGTACAGTAGTGAGGTAATCAGGAAAGTTTTGATAAGATAATACTGTGCCCGTGTTAACTGCCTGATTCTGATCGTTGTGCTGCAGTTATATGTGAGAATGCCCTTGCTTTCAGGAAATGCACACCGAAGCACTCATATTTAGAGCTAAACAAGCAAGATGTCTCAAACTGTTTCAAATACATTTATGCTTGTGAATGACAAACTGTCCAGTGGAGCACAGTCAGGAATTCTCTATAGTTTCTGGGTGATTACTTCTCAGCACATGCAAGCACACGCGCACACAGAGAACTCAGCCCTGTCAGGTGGGAGCCCGAGAGCCAGCCCAGCAGGTTATTTTGGCAGCAGATCCAGGGGGTGAGACACAGCCTGCAGGCAGATGACAACGGTGTGGGCAAGACAGTGGGAAACTCCGAATGAGCGAAGGTAGAGCCAACGCCATCAGAAGGCCGTTGGAGGGATAGGACTGCGATCTGCTGACCGACTGGACTTAAGTTAGGGAACAAGAACAGGCTGGTGAGGTATCCGGGCTTCTTGGCATGGTTGACCCATTGGTTGACATGGTCCCATTCACCAAGGCGAAGTGCCCAGAATTGTGGAGAACACACTGATGGGTTTGGGATAGCTCGGTGCGGCTGTTGAGAAGAGGGTTCATCTAAAGGCTTGGCAGGAGGGATCTGAACTCAGACACAGGTTAGAGAGGCACCAGCACCTAAGGAGGGAAGAGGAAGTGATAGGATAGGAAGAGATTCTCAGAGACAGGGCACAAGGCTCATTCTGCCACTGTGGAGCTGTGGGCTGTGGGCTGCCATTTGCAGCCCCTGCAGCCCCTGGCAGAGAGCTGGTTCAGTCCTGGTTGTTCCACTTTCAATCCAGCTTCTGGTTAATGCTTCTGGAAAGGCAGCAGAGTGCCCCCAAGTGCTTGGGTCCCCCACCACCCACCTGGGAGAGCTGGGTGGAGCTCCTGGCTCCTGGCTCCCTGCTTCAGCCTGGTCCAGCCCTGGCTGTTGCAGCCATTTGGGGAGTGAATCATTGGATGGAAGATTCTCTCTGTCTCCCTTTGCCTTTCAAAGAAATAAAGCAGGGACAAGCACAGTGGCACAGCAGGCTAACCCTTCACCTTGTGGCACCAGCATCTCACATGAGCTCTGATTCCAGTCCCGACTGTTCCACTTCCCATAAGCTCTGAGCTTATGGCCTGGAGAAGCAGCAGAGGTTAGCCCAAGTCCTTGGGATCCTACACTTGCATAGGAGACTCAGAAAAATGTCCTGGTTCCTGGCTTCAGATCAGTTCAGCTATAGCCATTGAAGCTGTTTGGGGAGTGACTTAAAGGATGGAAGTCTCTCTCTTTCTCTCCTCTCTATAAATCTGCCTTTTCAATAAAAATAATTAAATCTTTTTTTTTAAAGATTTATTTTTATTATTTTTTCATTGGAAAGGCGGATATACAGAGGAGAGACAGAGAGGAAGATCTTCCGTCCAATGATTCACTCCCCAAGTGAGCACAACGGCCGATACTATGCCGATTCAAAGCCAGGAGCCTCTTCCGGGTCTCCCACGCGGGTGCAGGGTCCCAAAGCTTTGGGCCGTCCTCGACTGCTTTCCCGGGCCACAGGCAGGGAGCTGGAAGGGAAGCGGGGCTGCCGGGATTAGAACCGGCGCCCATATGGGATCCCGGGCATGCAAGGCGAGGACCTTTAACCACTTGCGCCACCGCGCCGGGCCCTAAATCTTTTTTTTTAATGAATGCTGGAGATCCCCACCATCCGGGGGTCCCTATTCCACTCCTTGCCCCACCCAAGAAAGGGCCCCTGTGGTTTGTTTCTGCTGATGACTTAAACTATTTGCCCAATTGGCAAGTCCCTTCTCTTGGTAGAATCAAGTTTTACTCTGTAATTGGAGACACTGAAGGGTAACTGTCTTAAATACCTCCCAGGGCCAAAGGAAAACAATCGTGGCCCTAAAGTGCTCATTAGTCTAAGATACAAACCTCACATTTTAAGCTGACATTGCTACAACCATATCCTGTTTGCCCCAACCCTTTTGCTGCCTTTAGATATTAACTTCTGACCTTCCTTAATGAGATAAAGACCATTAGAAATCCAAAATGATTGTGATTGGAATGAACTAAGGGCTGTTCAGGATAGTCCAGAGAGCAAAGAATGGGCTGCTGGATCCAGAGATAACTGGGGAGATAACAGACCTTGGATTCAATATGTGCAATAAAACGTACATATTGAATCCAAGCACACCTAGCACACTCCATTCGGGTGCCCAGTGCTCCCTGCCTCCCCTCACTCCTGTTTGCCTCCCCTTCCCTCACACTGCTGCAATGTTTTAAACCTGTTGCAGGGGCCAGTGATAGAACCTGGGATCTCACTGGGAATGTGACATGCAGGGCTGCCCCAATGGTTCAGGCCTCACGATATCTCTTGCCATTGAGTTTGAAGGTTCTATGTCTTTATTTGAACAGCACAGTACAGAAAAAGAGGGAAGAAAAGAAAGAGAGAGAGAGAATCTTTCACCTGCTAGTTCACTCTACAAATGGCCAGGTTGAAGGCAGGAGCCTGGAGCACTCTCCAGGTCTCCCATGTGGGTGCATGGTCCAAGCACTTGGGCCGCCTTCCACTGCTTTCCCAGGCACATTAGCCAGGAGCTGGACTCCAACCAGTGCCCACATGGGATGCTTAAGCCCCAGTGCCAACCACGCAGGCCTCTCCACATGATTTCAAAAGCAGGTCACATGCAAGTCACATGAGGCCTTTAATCTTCCGCCACCAACAATGTTTTGCAAAAGTTGGCCTCCAGTCATGGAGTCATCCGGGTCATCCCCACTAAGGGGAGACAATTTGTTAACTACTTCATTCTTTCCTTTTTTGTTTGTGGTTAATCAGAACCCTCCCAATCTCTCGAGCATTTTAACAAATTGTTGTTGTTGTTGAAGTAAGAGATGAACTTTAGATACCCGTCCAAACTCCAAGGTCAGCTTTGCCAGGGTGGGGTGTGTTGTGGCCAAGGCCACAGCTCCCCAACTCCCCAAGGTCTGGAGCCATCCACCTGCCAAGTGGCTGGTCCCCAGAGGCACCGGGCCTCTTCCCCGCCGGGCTCGGCTGCCCGCCCTCCGGCGCCGCTAGGACCAGTGCCCGGGTCGTGCCAGCATCCCCGCCCCCTCCCTGGCAAGGAAAGGCCTTGGCAATAGTGACGGTGGAGCGAGACCTGCTCGACCGGCCCTAGCCGCAAGAAACAGGCCGGGTGCGCAGGGAGGGCCTGGGCTGCTTGAAGCGCGCGCCGAGGACGAGGCAGGTTCAGCCCTCAGCTTCCCAGGGCCTCACCGTCGCCGTCGCCGCTGCTGTCGTTTTCGCTCAAGGTCACAGTGCTCTAGCAGATTGTTCGAAGACCCCGGCTTCCCTTCACCCTCTCAGGTACCCACCCGACCCAGAAGCATCGCGGGGCAGGGATGGGCCGGGGGACCTTGACGCCTTATTCCCGCGTCCAGCCACCGTTTTGGGGCTGCAGTAACCGGCAGAAATGGATAGCTGCCCGGCTCTTGCACCACACAGCGTCGTGGGGGGGAGGTTAAAAGTCGCTGTTGCAAAACTCCCGCTTCTGATCTTGGAGCCTTATCTAAGCCTGATAGCACGAAGGCCTTTGGAGTCTGCGCCCACTTTTTACCAAGCAATGAATGTAAAAATTCTACGACGCTGGCCGTGAGCATTGGCCACCGCTGTGAGTTATATGTTGAGAGAGAGGGGGAGAGAGAGAAAGGTTATTGAAAGGAATCAGGCCCCAAGATTCTTTTCCTGTGTTGCATTTCTATTTATTTGCCCACCAATGTACGATGCGCGGGAGCCCTTTCTCAGAAGAACTCCGAGCCCTGGGAGGAGTTGCAGGTGCAAGCAATTTTTATCATTGCTGAAAAGCCACCTCCTAGGGGCAAGTTGAACCGGAGAGAAGCTCTCAGAAGTTGCATGCCTGCTTTTCTTCTCCCACACAGGATTCTTATCAGATCAAGGTTGTCGTTTTTTTCTTTTCTAATAATTGTTATATTTTTCCTTCCCCAGTTCCCTGGTCACAGCCCCTGCCCTAAAGTCCCAGCCTATAATGCTCCTCATCTGTGGCGTTCAGTTGGCTCCGTGCCTTCCTAGGAATAAAGGAATATCTGAGGGGCTGTCTCAGCGCCCCCTGGCTCCATCTCCTGGCCCTATCCCCCTCCCTCCCACCCTTCCAACCCCCACCCCAGCTCCAGGGTCTTTTCCCCGGTTCCTTTCATGGTCTGATTTGAAAAATGGATGTTAGCTATAATTCAGTGTCTGATGGCTGGTGACTGCGTTTCTAAAAATGCAGATCAAAAGGCTGTGAGCTTTGTACCTTCACAGGAGGGGTTCAGCTGCATAGGCGGGGGCGGGGGAGGGGGAGGGCAATGGGAGAAGGTGACCTGCAGACACCCAGAGGGGCCACCAATGAGAGAGCTGCCCGCCCTCTGACCCACCTTGGAGGCTAGGGAGCTGACAAAAAGGGCAGCCTTGTGCTGTCTGAGCAGCCACTGGCTCGCTGAGCGTGACCCAGTGACTAGCGCACCAAGGTGTGGATGCCCAAGTGTCGCCTTTTAGTTATTTTCAAGACAGCTTGAAAAGAAGTTACTGGTAAGTTGACCGAAGGTATCTCCTGTTTTCACCTATTAGCTTTCTTCTTTTTCCTACCTGTCTCCTACCGTGCAATCACGGATCATGTTCTGGCTCCAGGGACCCACATTTTGCCTGTCCAATTTGAATCCCAAACAGGCAAACCCGTGACGATCCCGTGGCTCCCAGTGAGTCATGCCGCTTTGGTTGGACTTCCCAGTGCATATAAAAGTTATGTTTACACTACACTATTAACTAGTATTATTAGCACTATTAACTAGTCTATTAACTGTGCAATAGCACTGGGTCTTAAAAAATACATGCCTTAATTTAAAATACTTTTATTGCTAAAACAAAACAAAACAGAAACAATAAATGGCACCAATTCACTTGCTCAATGCCAGGTTGCACAAGCCTTGAACTTGCCAAAAAAAAGAAAATGCAACATTGGCAAAATGCCCTAAGGCAAAGCCAAGGAAAATGAGGTAGGTGTATGCATCTTAGTAAGATCGGAAGCCAGGTGTTTGAACTTGCATCCTACAATTGCATTTTCTCTGCTAACTTCAGGAGCTGTGCCCTGTGACCATGTCGTCCATTAAGATTGAGTGTGTTCTGCCCGAGAGGTGCCACTGCGGTGAATCTCCAGTGTGGGAGGAATCATCAGGCTCTCTGCTCTTCGTGGATATCCCTGGGAAAAAGCTATGCCGGTGGAATCCACTCACCAAGGCAGTGCAGCGAATGACTGTAGGTAAGGAGAAAGGCTGGCCTCGCATCTTCTCAGGCAGACGCCTGTTCCCAGGGGAGGGGCCGCCACCCAGTGTTCCTCATTCTCCCAGGACCTTCTGGTTAGTTTTTTTTTTTTTTTAGTGTTTATTTTCATTTATTTGAAAGATTTACCAAGGGTTGGAGTGGAGGAAGGGGCAGGAGAGAGAAACAGAGGTCTTTCATCTGCTGGCTCACTCCCCAAATGCCAGCAACAGACAGGGCTGGGCCAGGCTAAAGCCAGGAGCCTGGAACTCCATCCAGGTCTCCCACATGTGTGCAGGATCCCAGGCACTTGGACCATCCTCCCTTGCTTTCCCAGGTGCATCAGCAGGGAGTCCGAATGGAAGTAGAACAGCCGACACTCCAGTAGGTGCCCATATGGGCTGGTGTCACAGGTGGTGGCTTTAGCTGCCATGCCACAATGTCAGTCCCAGGAGCTTCTTGTTAAAGCTTCTTGTTGAAGCTTTAAAAGCTTCAAGGATTGCCATGCTCTCTGGGTGACAATCCAATCCATGACTTTGACCCAAGAGGCACTTAGGATGATTAATTCAGAGGCGTGGCAAATAGTCCCAGTGTTATTTTGATGCTGAGGCACTGTAGGTTCCCTTAGCACCATCAGATAACAGCATCAGCCCTAGCCACTGCATAGCCCACTGGAGTCAGGCTAAGAACTCCATTATCAAACCCAAATCCAGAGCTGTCCTGATCTCTTTGATGGTGGGTGGGCGGAGGGGTGGGAAGGAGAGCCCGTGATTTCTGGACCAGGGGCGTAGCTCTGCTCTGGAATGGGCTTGGAATGACTATGGATGCATTGAGAAATTCTTTGTTTTATGATGGTGTTCTTGAGCGTAGATGCCAGGGGTTCTTGTAACCATGGCAACTCCTTGCATACCTTTCCATGAATCCATTTGGGATTCCACTGCAGACCAACCCTTGCTTGATTCCATCCATCCTTCTTTCCTTCCTTCCTTCCTTCCTTCTTTCCTCCCTCCCTCCCTCTCTCCCTCCCTCCCTCCCTTCGTCTCTCTCGCTCCCTCTCCCTTTTTCTATGAGAGGGAGCAGCTTTCTGACTCACCTGGGAGCTTGATTGCGGAGAGAAGCAAGTGGCTCTGGGTCATGAGGGTGGTGTTGGCCCTCCCCAAGCTCGCTCTATCCCTGCACACCATGGGCCCACCCCAACTCTGCAAAGCCCGCAACCATGGGAAGGATTTGTGGTATCAGCAGGAACTTGAGGAAGTCTCAGGTGACAAGGTCGGGATCCTTGTGACAGATCCTCCCAATGGCATTCTGCAAGGTCCCACCCCGCCCCTCCATGGCTTAAATCAGCAGCCAAGCAGGAATTCTCAGCACACCCACTGCTGCTGAGCAGGGCTTAGGGAATGTTTGCACAATAAAATCGGGTAAATTCATTTCCTGTGACTGCTTGCTGTGGCAATCAGCTCTCCACTCCAAGTCTGCTGGAGCCTGGCACAGTGACATAGCAGGCTAATCCTCCACCGGTGGCACTGGCATTGCATATAGACACCAGTTTGTGTCCCAGCTGCTCTATTTCTGATCCAGTCCCTGCCTGTGACCTAGCAAAGCAGCAAAAGAGGGTTCAAGACCTTGGGACCCTGCACCCATGTGGGAGACCCAAAAGCAGCTTCTGGCTCCAGGCTTTGAAACGGCCCGGCTCCAGCCATTGCAGCCATTTGGGGAGTGAATCAGCAGATGGAAGATCTCTCTCTGTCTCTCCTTCTCTCTCTGTAAAGCCTGGCTTTCCAAATAAAAATAAAACTTTTAAAATAAAGAGAATAGTCTTCTTGTATATGCAAAAAATTAAACCCAGAGAACCTAAAATTTAAAACTACAGAATATAGTAGTATGAGCAGTCTTTAAAACATTCATGAAAAATGAGTATCATGGAAAGAACTGTGTGTGAATTTCAACTTCTTGCGCCAAAATAAACTTGTTTTAATTATATTTCCTCCATCTTTTTCAAGTATTTTTGTATTATGAAGAGATGTGATTGAACCTTTGCTACATCTACATTTCTTGCTATTTATTATTTTTTAAAGATTTATTTCTTTTTAGTATAAAGGCAGATTCACAGAGAGGAGAGAAAAAGAGAAATCTTCCATCTGCTGGTTCATTCCCCAAAGGTCCCAATGGCCAGGAGTTGAGCAGATCTGAAGTTAGGAGCTTCTTCCAAATCTCCCACACGGGTGCAGAGGGGCCCAAGGACTTGAACCATTCTCTACTGCTTTTCACAAGCAGGGAGCTGGATGGGAAGTGGAGCAGCCGGGACACGAACCGATGCCCTTATGGGATGCCGGCACTCGCAGGCAGAGGGTTAGCCCTGCTACTTATTATTTTTATCACACTTGCTGTCTGACAGTATTTGGGGAAGTAATTTTCAATTAAATATATAAAATATGTCCTCACACACATACAGAGAGAAATAAAGCACAAAAACTTAAATTTGAGAGACCGAAATGCAAAGAGAGAAAAATTAAGAAGTCTGTTGTTGATTCCCTGCCCAAATGCCTGCACTGGAAGGCACTGGCCCCCACTAAAGCCAGGAGCCCAGGTCAGTCCGGGTCTCCCACATGGGTGGCAGGGATCCAGTTACTTGAGGCATCGCTTGCTGCCTCCTAGGGTGAACTTGAGGGTCAGAAGCAGAGCTGGAACTGGAACCCAGGTATTTGGGCATCTTTTTTTTTTTTTAATTCAGTTTTTAAAAGATTTATTTATTTTTATTACAAAGTCAGATATACAGAGAGGAGGAGAGATAGAGAGGAAGATGCTCTGTCCAATGATTCACTCCCCAAGTGACCGCAACGGCCGGTGCTGCACCAATCCGAAGCCAGGAGCCAGGAACTTCCTCCAGGTCTCCCACACAGGTGCAGGGTCCCAAGGCTTTGGGCCATCCTTGACTGTTTTCCCAGGCCACAAGCAGGGAGCTAGATGGGAAGTGGAACTGCCAGGATTAGAACCATCACCCATACGGGATCCCGACGCGTTGAAGGCGAGGACTTTAGCAGCTAGGCTACTGTGCCAGGCCCAGATTCATTCATTTTTATTGAAAAGGCAGATATACAGAGAGGAAGATCTGTCCGATGGTTCACTCTCCAAGCAGCTGCAACGGCTGGAGGTGAGCCAATCCAAAGCCAGGAGCCTCCTCCAGGTCTCCCACATGGGTGCAGGGTCTCAAGGCTTTGGGCCCTTGGGCATCTTAATGTTGCTCCAGATACCTAGTCCCTATCCTTCAACTTGGCAGAGAGTGTTCCCATCATCCACACAGCTGGATGCCTTCGCTAAGAGATGCAGGAGACATGAGTGTCGACGCCGCCACTGAACTGCTTGCTGCCTTCTAACGTGTGATTTGGCCTCTGCAGAAGCGCCGGTCTCCTCGGTGGCCCTGCGCCGGTCTGGAGGCTATGTCGCCACCATTGGAACAAGGTTCTGCACTGTCAACTTACAAGATCAGTCAGTAGTTACCCTGGCCACAGTGGATAACGATAAGAAAAACAATCGATTCAATGATGGGAAGGTGGATCCTGCAGGAAGATTCTTTGCTGGTAAGATGACTTTCTAGAAACTACTTTCTGAACTTTGGAGGAAATTATGAGAGAACTTCAAAAAGTTTCTGGAAATCTTGCGTAACTTTAAAAAAAAATTTATTTATTTTTATTGCAAGTCAGATATACAGAGAGGAGGAGAGACAGAGAGGAAGAGCTTCTGTTCGATGATTCGCTCCCCAAGTGACCCCAAGTGACCATAACAGCCAAAGCTGAGCTGATCTGAAGCCAGGAGCCAGGAGCTTCTTCCAGGTCTCCCATGCTGGTGCAGGGTCCCAAGGCTCTGGACCGTCCTAGACTGTTTTCCCAGGCCACAAGCAGGGAGCTGGATGGGAAGTGGGGCCGCCAGGATTAGAACCGGCATCATTATGAGAGCCTGGCAAGTTCAAGACGAGGACATTAGCTGCTAGGCTATTGCGCCGGGCTGTTAAGTTTACTTTTTAAAATCAACATTTCTTCATTCCTTTTACAATGTATGAAGAGACACAAAAAGAAACAGAGCGATCCCATCGCTGGTCTGCACCAGTGAGGGCTGGGTCAGGCCAACACCAAGAAGCAGGAACTCAGTCCGAGTCTCCCACATGGTGAGGTAGCTCCCAAGGCTTGCCCCGGCACTGATGTTTTCCAGGCTCTGCACTGGTGAGACTGATGGCAGGTGTCAGAGCTGGACACTGAACCCTGGCACTCCAGGGCAGGATGCGGGCCTCTTAAATACTAGGCTAAATGCCTGGCTCTAAATGAATTTTAGATTTTTTGTAGCTGTGGATATTTGGATTGGAAATTATTTCCATTTATAGCAAAGAAGTAAGACTAGTACAAACAACACTTGGATGCTATTTAGTTAGATCCACCTGTTGTTAACACTTTGGTTCTAACATTTGCTGTTCTATCTAACCATATTAATGCTCCAAATCATTTGATAATAGGTTGTATATATATATATATATATATCCTGTGCCTTTACTACTGAAATCCTTCAGCGTGAATTTTCAAAAAAAAAAAAAATGACATATTTGTACACAACCAGAGTTACCAACGTAAAGAAGTTTAGCATTACTATGCACATGGTTTATTTGACACCCCATCTCAGCCCCAGTTTTAAAAATTGACCAAATCATGCCCTTTTTGTTTTTCTCCTCTAGGACAGACCCAGTGTGAGATTGCTTTGCCTTGAACCTCTTAGCCTGGAACATTTCCATAGCTCATCTTTGTTTTTAATGCCATTGACATTTATGATTACAGTCCCATCCTAGACCCCCTTTGTGAATTTTTGTATCTGTCTGATGTGTTCTTGTGATTAGACTGATGTTAAACTTTCTTGGCTAGAATTCTGTGTGATGTTCTGACCTTTTTGTGGGGTCCCATCTGGAGGCACACGATGTCCCTCTGCCCCCTAAATGGTGACAAGAATTCTGATTCCCCAGCCTGTCAGATGAACGCACTGCAACTATTTTTAAAATTTCAATTTACAGGCAATGTGGGGGGTTTGCTAGCTATTTGTTGCCATGCAACACCTTACCCTGAAACTTAGTGACTTCGTCTATTAATCTCGTAGAGTTTCTGAAGGTCAAAAACCTGGGTGCAGCTTAGCTGGATGGTTCAAGGATGGGTCTAGTGAGGATGTATGCAAGCTGTCAGTTGGACCTGAATGCTGCAAAGGGACATGGAGTGTCCGCTTCCAAGCCAGTCCTCATAGGGATTGGCAGGAGTCTTCAGTTCCCTGCATTCTGGGCCTATTCAAAGGGCTGCTTAGGACATGTGTTTCCCTAGAGCCAGTGATATGAGAGAGAGAGAGAGAGAGAGAGAGAGAGAGAGCGAGCCCACCCAAGATGGAAGCCCCAGTCTCGTTACCAACCATTTTGGAGGTTGCACACCATTACTACTGCCAAGAGTCTATTGATCGCCACACAGACAAGAATGAAGAGAGTCATCCCGAGCTGTGACTCCTGGAAGGCCCAGCTGAATGGGGGCTGTCTTGGAGACTGGCTGCAATAGGGAGCACTGCTTACAGTCTCTGCAGACCCCCTACTCCTCCCCAGACGTCCCTCCTTAGGTTTTTCATCTGTTGATTCTTGCTTGAACCAATGTTTATTGTGACAGTTGCAGAATGATATGCATACAGGTTTAAAAGGATTTTGATTCTAGATGTAAAGAGATAATGTATATCACTTGCATTTCTCATTTGCCTGCCCTCTTAATAACCCCAAGATGTAGGCAAAGAGGATTTGCTGTCTTTGCTGTCTCTCTCTCCTTGACTTTCCGATGGAAAGCATGAGATCTGAGCTGTGCATTGCTCCCCACCTTCCTAGGCTTGGCATAACCACAGATATCATCTGGGAAAGGCTGAAGGATTAAAGACAAGAAGGCATGGGAAGTCCTCCTGCCAGCTGTGTCTGTCACACACACACACACAATTGGCTGCTTTGCTTCTTGATACAATTAATCGTCCCTCTCCCCTATGACTAGAAATTTTAAAATGCCATGGCACTTCATGAGACAAAAATAAAGATGTCCTCCTGCAGTCCCTGGGCCATCAGGAGACCTTTAAAAATTGTGGGTGTCACCATGGGTGTCATGGGTGGACTTGAAATGCCAACGGAAATGCCCAAGAACCCTTTACTAAAGAGAAATCATAGCTCCCTGCAGGGACACAGAAGTTTCTCGGGCCTAGCAAAGTGTGGGATCATCTGATAGCCTAGAATGGAGTCTCAGTGTGATTGCTCCCTGAAGGAATAGCCAAGGTGCGACCTGTTATGCCCACTACTAGCTCACTAAGAGAGTCCTTTCTTTTTTTTCTCATTTTCAGTAAATATATCAAGTTTGTGCTAAACACAGAACTATTGAAATGGGAACATACGCTCAAGTACAATGTAGTTCTTGACTTCTTTATACCAGGTACTTTATAATGAGTCAGACAAGTTAACAGAATGTTAAAACTGTTTTTAAAGTCAATGAACTGATTAAAGTAACTTCATCCAAAAGAAGGTAGCCTATTCTGCCCTCTCGATTCCGAAAGCAGCAGTGGATTCAGTCACATTCAGGGCATCTATGGCCATGAGGCCCCTGGTGTGGCGCAATATCCAGGAGGCAAACCCCACCACTCCCCTGCAAGGAACTAGTAGCTAACATCCTTCTTGTCGGGGAGGGGGGGGCTACCATGTCTTTTTCTTTTTTTAAGATTGTGATTGTGTGATTTTTATTTTATACCAGGTGGTGGTCCTTAATAAAGTTCCCATTGTCAAGATACAGCTAATAGTTTCATTGGGAGTCCATCTTTGATCTGGAAGTAGAGATGCACACTGCACTGCATCCTCACATCTGGACATGATAGTCTCCATTACACAGTCACCACACATCCCTCTTAAATGAAAAGCCACAATACAAAATCAACAACAGGAAGAAAAAAATAGAAATTTACAGTGCCATGAATTTCTCAAGAGGTTTTGATAGTTCAACAGTCCTGAATTGCTGTTGATCCCACCACTCCAATTGCGATGAAATCTCTCCAGAATCCACTGGCTGCTATGGTCCACCTTAGAGTCTCCATCTGCCCAGATCTTCACTGCCAATAATTGGCTGGGGTAGTTGATCAATTTGTTCTGTCCTCCGTCCTCTGCCATGGTACCAGGTGTCCTCTGGAGGCTCCAATGTACTGCCATATCCTATTTTTTTCAGTTCTAACATTCTCATTTGGCTATTCTTCATATCATCTACTTCTTTGCGGATACTTTCTGTTTTGAGTTTTGTTTGAAGAAGGCAAAAATTGCTCGTTAGATTTGTGTACGAGCCACTTTGGTTTTTTTAAGATTTATTTATTTTTTAATTGGGAAGTCAGATATACAGAGAGGAGGAGACACAGAGAGGAAGATCTTCCATCGCTGGTTCACTCCCCAAGTGGCCACAACAGCTGGAGCTGCACCAATCTGAAGCCAGGAGCCCAGAGCCTCTTCCGGGTCTCCTACATGGGTGCAGGGTCCCAAAGCTTTGGGCCGTCCTCAGCTGCTTTCCCAGGCCACAGGCAGGGAGCTGGATGGGAAGCGGGGCCACTGGGCCCTAGTTTTTGTCAAGTAACCCCTCCATCTGTGCCACCTCATGTTCAGCATCTGCTGATTGACTTTTCCTGCGTGAGTTGAGCCTTCCATACCTTTTTGTGTTGCCAGGTAATTTGGGGCCACATCATAGACATATTGAATATGATGGTATGAGCCCTGAGTCTTGTTTATAATCCTTTGGGGAATGTCACTGTAGTTGCCTTAGTAAGCAATGTACAGTCATGTAGAGCTTAACAATGGGGATACGTTCTGAGAAATGCTTTTTTCACTCTTTATTTATTTGAGAGTCAGACAAGCAGAATGAACTCACATTCACTGGGTCACTGGCTCACTCCCCAAATGCCCACAACACACACTGTTGTGCTGAACTGGAGCCAGAGGTGGATACCAAATGCACAAACTCTCATAAGAGATGTGAGCATCTTGACTGGCTAGACTAAATACCTGCCCCCATTATAGAGTCATCTTAACACCACCCAGGCTGGCAATGAGGTCACTAGGTAGTAGAGATGCGGTCTGTCACTGGCTGAAATGTTGTTCATTCATGACTGCAGGTGCTTAAAGTTTTGGATTCCTGCTAGAGTCTGTTAAACTCTGTTGCTCATGTGTGCCACCCAGTGGTCAGCCTGGGACCTGGCAGGAGATGGATCCACTAGCTCTGTTCTCAGTGTTTGATGTGTTCATTAGAATCCAGTCCATGTATATACAAGTTAAGGATGAGCCTCGTTGAACTTAAACAGCTTTCTAAGTGGCTCCCTTCCTGAGAAACTGGTTTTTTCACTGATTCTCAATGCAGTTTCTCCCCCAGTTTCATCCCTCGAGTCAGAAATCACCCATGTCTGTGGTTGTGCGGCCAGAGGGGAAGAAAGTATAAAAGCAACAGCGTTTGATTCCATTCTTTTGGAGTTGGTCTCACAGAATGCAGAGGAAAGTTCCTGCCTTTGAGGTTTTCGTTCAAGTAGTTTCTTGTTGCTAGAACCCCCTTTGCTGTTGCCACGCCTACTTCAGCGCTATCTGGGGACTTGTTTAGGAGAGGATGAATTAAAAGCAAGGAGAGTAACCCAAGGATTTCTTCCATTCTCTGCAAGCTTCAGGGGGGTTTTGTGTTTTGTTTTTGTTTTTGTTTTCTGCTCCATGAGCCAGGTCTAGCTTCTTGGACCACTGTCTGTCTGCACTAGAGTGCCCACTTCCAGATTTCCGGGTGAGTAGGTCATGAGCGCCTGGAGAAGAGAATGAAGAACTGGCCACTGGTGAGCTGCTGCTCATCCCTGGGCTGCCTGCTGATGCTCACTCTGCAGACTTCTCAGAGAGCCGTGCCTGCCTTTCATCCAGGTTTTACAGTTGCGCTCCTAGGAGCAAATTATGTTGGTGCGCCTTCAGTTCTTTTCTGACACCAGAACCTGCCCACATCGTTGTAATTTGCATGATAGATGATGTAGTTGTTATTTTAAAATTATACACACACATAGAGGACAGGTATTTGCAGTTAAGTCGTCAGTTAAGATAGTCACATCATTTCATATCAGAGTGCCTGGGTTCAAGTCCTGGCTCCAGCTCCTGATTCCAGCTTCCTGCTAATGTGTATCCCGAAGCACAGCAGGTGATGGTTCAAGTCAAGGGACTAGAGTCCCTGTCACTCACATGGGGGATTTGGATTGAGTTCCCAGCTCGGGCCTGCCTGCCTGGTCCTAGCCTCATGGATGGGACTTCTATGTTTTTCTCCCAATGCCCTCTCTCTTATCTCTGCCTCTCAAATAAATAACTTTTTAAAAATAAATAATACAGGGTCAGCCTAATGGCTCAACTAATTAATCCTCCACCTTCAAGCACCAGCATCCCATATGGGCGATGCTTCATGTCTCAGCTGTTCCAACTCTCATCCAGCTCCCTGCTTATGATCTGGGGAAGCAATGGAGGATGACTCAAGTCCTTGGACCTTACACCCGCATGGGAGACCCAGAAGAAGCTCCTGGCTCCTGGCTTTAGATGGGCTCAGTTCTAGCCTTTGCTGCCATCTGGGGTGTGAACCATTGAGTGGAAGAGCTTTCTCTCTTTCATTCTCTCTATAAAAATCTGCCTTTCCAAAAAATAAATAAATAAACAAGTCTTTAAAAAATAATTAATACACAGATGAGGATTATATAATAATTTCCTTAATTCAAACACTGGAAAGAGGACCAATTGTGTGGCACAGACAATTCAGCTGCTACCTGCAGTGCTGGCATTTCGTATCAGAGCTCTGGCTTATGTCCCTGGCTGCTGCACTTCCAATATAGTTCTCTGCTAAGGCGCCTGGGAAAACAGCAGAAAGTGATCCAAATACTTGCGTCCTTGCCATCCATGTTGGAGACTCAGCTGGAGTCCCTGGCTCCTGGCTTTGGCCTGCTGTAGCCCTGGCTGTTGTGACATTTGGAGTGTAAGGATGTGAACCAGCAGATAGAAGATCTCTCTCTCTGTATGTGTGTGTATTTGTCAATGTACCTTTAAAATAAAGCTTAAAAGAAAGAAAAGCAAGGAAGGAAGGAGCCCTGAAAGGCTCCTTGTGAGAAGCAGTGGCACCGTGCACGGACACGGCCATAGCCACGCAGAGTGTGGCTGAGCTCGGTGCTCTTTGCTTTGTGCAGGTACCATGGCCGAGGAGACAGCCCCAGCAGTGCTTGAGTGGCACCAAGGATCCCTGTACGTCCTCTTTCCTGACCATCAAGTGAAAAAGGACTTTGCTCAAGTGGACATCTCCAATGGTTTGGATTGGTCCCTAGACCACAAAATCTTCTATTACATTGACAGCTTGGCTTACTCGGTGGATGCCTTTGATTACGACCTGCATACCGGACAGATCTGTATGTACCTTTTCATTCTTTTCATTCACGCTTAGCCAGGCACCTTTCCTTCCACCTGTGAAAACACAGAGAACTTCCCAATGTTAGTAGTTCAATGTAGCCATTATTATATAGACTGGACCATGCCACCAGTCAAACCATGATCCTCAACACGAACATGAGCACAGTTGGCGTAATCTGAATAAACCCTTTGTCTCCTTCCTTGCCGCCATCATCAGAAAAGGGGATCCCTGGAAAATGGATCCTGTGCTACCAAGAGATATTTAAAGGCAAATTAGATGTAAAAGAACGGAAAAGCAGGATATTAAAGTTTGTGATTGCTAGTTCTTACTTGTTCTTTAAAACCATGGGCAACCACAGAGGCAACCTCACAACCTTTCCAAGTGGAAAACGCAAGGTTGTTGCAGGTTGTTCAGTTCTGTCAATGGGCTTTAAATTAGCCCCAGTTGGAAACTGGGAGGGAAGGAATCATGAAGAATTTAGAAACTGATTCATGAGACGTGCCAGACCAGAAGAGCAAAAGCAGCCATACAAATGACTTGGAGGGGATCACAAGAATCTCCATGCACATGTAATCAGAAGTAAAATATTCCAGTGGGAACGCTTGGCCTTGAAATATAAAGGGCTCCTTTTTTTTTTTTTTTTTTTTTTTTTTTTTTTTTTTTTGCAGGAGGGTACTTTTTACTCATTTTCCACACACGTGGTTTTAACATTTTGCCAATATATCTTGATGTGATCCCTGAGGGGTCTGGATTTTGTAATGTAATATTCTTCTGGACTTTGATGTTGGTTTTGGGTAGACCCTTTTAAGGTCAACCAGTGGGATTTTAGAATGCTCCGTCCTCTCAGAAGAAGCAAGCTCTTTTCAGAGTTCATCTTGATTTTTAGAACCTTCTGTCAGGCACAAAGGAAGACTCATATATTTTACGAAGTTTTGCGCATAAGCTGTTCACATGGCATCACTAAAGTCACTGTGCAGGGTTTGGAGTTAAAGTAGGCATCTTTGAAACAACATAGCTAGGGTCAAGCCACAGATGGAGGGATAGCTGAGGTGCAGGTGGAGAACTGCAGTTCGGGCGAGGGCAGCCTCAAAGAGAACTCTTGGTGTTGGACTAAAATTTCTGCTTTCATTTTTCTCTCTTCCTCTAAACGCTTAGATAGATAAGGCTGTACCCAAACAAAAGGAAACAGATGCACCCCAAATCATGTAGCTAAAAAAAAATCCTTTGTTCACCTCCCAAACACTGGATACACAGAAGTGATGCGCATTTATAAGGATACTTCTAAACGTTCATGGGAAATGGAGTTAAAAAATAGCTTTTGGTGTAATGCTTTTCTTGAAATCCATACACTTTTCTAGTAACATGCATTTCCCACAGATGTCTTCATTACCCATCACATCAGCTTGTGAGTTCATTATTTAAGTCTCAATATTGGGTGACTTACTGCTTTGTTGTGTGTTTTGAGTCTTGTTTCTATTTTTGGCTTTTAACCACAGCCAACCGCCGGAGCATTTACAAGCTGGAGAAAGAGGAACAAATCCCAGATGGAATGTGTATCGATACTGAAGGGAAGCTTTGGGTGGCCTGTTACAATGGAGGAAGGGTGATCCGCTTGGATCCTGAGACAGGTAAGCACACAGTAACACGAAAAAAGCCCTGCCAAGTCTAGAAAACATCACATACTAGGGAATGGAGAAACCTCATCACTAACACGGTTAGAAATCTATCCAATGGTCCCAGTTAAAATTAAAGGCAAAGATGTAGCCCAAATTTATGGCCAGAGCTGCTTTTCCTGTGGAGGTCAAATCATTTGGCTCAAAATGAGTTAAATGCATTAGTGAATTGTGCTCTCCCCAGCTTTCTAGAAACTTCTGAATTACTCTACCAAGGGCCCAGGAACCTTGGACAGGTTGGAAATTGCTGAAACTTTAAATAAAATATTTGGTGATCTAGGAAAAAGACTCCAAACTGTGAAGTTGCCTGTGGACAAAACAACTTCATGCTGCTTTGGAGGGAAGGACTACTCTGAACTGTATGTGACCTGTGCCCGGGATGGGCTGGACCTCAACAGTCTTTCACGACAACCTGAAGCTGGTGGAATTTTCAAGGTGATATGGTTGTTGCTTTTATTTTGGAGAGGGGTGCGGGGTCTTCTCTTAAATAACTAGAATCTGATAATTTTGAGTATTGCCAAAGCACAGCACTATTTAGCTTATTATGCTACACTTAAAAGCATTTTATTTAGACTTTCTAGTTTTCTTTCTAATTAACTTTTTAGTTATCTGAAGCTGAAGTTGCAGAGAGAGAAGGGGAGAGAGGGAGGGAAGGGGAGAGAGGGAGGGATGGGGAGAGAGAAAGACAGAAAGAGACAGAGAGAGAGAGAGATTGCATCTGCTAATTCATTTCACTAGATGGCTGCAATGGCTAGGCTGGACCATGTCAAAGGCAATCGTCAGAAACTCCATCCAGATTTCCCATGTGGGATTGAGTGTGAGGGACCCAAGTACCTGAGCCATCCTCTGCAGCTTTTCTCAGGTGCACTAGTGGAGAGCTGAATCAGAAGTGGAGCAGGTGGGACTCCAACCGGGGCTCATATTGGATGCCAGATTCACAGGCGGCATCTTAGCCCACTGCACCATGACATCAACACTTGAAACTTTGAGTAAGATAATTTGATTATTTTGATGTCATAAAAATGTTTTCAAGTTCTTGTCATATTTGTTTGCAACACAACTCACATATAAACATTGCAGACCTGGGCGGGGCATGATACTGTGGTGTTAGTGGATCCCACAAAACTAATATCCCATACAAGTGCTGGTTTGAGTCCTGGCTACTCTACTTCTGATCCAGCTCCCTGCTAATGAGCTTGGAAAAGCAGCAGAAGATGGCCTAAACTGCTTGGGTCCCTGCTCCCAGTTAGGAGACCCGGATGAAAGTCCCAGCTGCTGGCTCCATTGAAGCCACTTAAGGAGTGAACCAGTAGATGGAAGATCTCTCCCTCTTTCTGTCTCTTGCTTTCTCTGTAACTCTATCTTTTAAAATAACAAATAAACAAATCTTCAAAAACAAGAGATCATAGATCTTATGAGCTGAAAGAGAAATGCCAGTGCAATGGCTCAAAGGCTAAATCCTCCCGTAAGCACTGGGATCCCCTGTGCGACCGGCTCCTGTCCCGGCTGCTCCACTTGCCGTCCAGCTCCCTGCTTGTGGCCTGGGAAAACAGTGGAGGACAGCCCAAAGTCTCCTGCATGGGAGACTCAGAGGAGGCTCCTGGCTCCTGACTTTGGATCGACTCAGCTCCAGCCATTTGCAGCCGTTTGGGAAGTGAACCAGTGGGTGAAATATCTGTCTTTCCTTCTCTCAGTAAACCTGTCTATCCATTTTTTTAAAATGGAGTAACCTCTTTTCTAACAAGTGCAAAGATGATAGAAATAAATTCAGTTTAAAATTCAAGTTAATTGTAAATGGGTACAAATTGGATTATAATATATGTGTGACTAATTGGATTGTAGGCAAATATCACATATATTCCTTTTTATGATAGGAACTAGAGCATAAGTTGCTAAGTATAAATGTTAATCATAAAAGTGTATTTGAACAATATTTTTGAGTGACTTGTTTGTCAGAGTTTTTCTATTTTTTGCTTTGTTTTTTTTTTCAACAGATAACTGGCCTGGGCGTTAAAGGAATCGCTCCCTATGCTTATGCTGGATAAGTGACAGGTGTTCCTTCGTGCCAGAGGAAGCTTTGAAAACAACAGAATTCTGGGGCCAAAACTGCAATCAGCAAAATGAAGCAAGGAGATAATTAAGGCTAAATTGTAATCTCACTTAATTTTTTAAAAAAAGTACAGCCTTTTTAATAAGCCATGATAACACACTATGAGATCGTTTGTAAAAATGCAAAAAAAAAAAAAATTGTTCTAATGTCCCCAAAGCCTCTTGATTCTTTAAAAATGGGCTGAGAGGGTGTGGAGGTGAGGACTGGGACAGCTGTTCTGTATTCCATAGTCAACATCCCTAAGGCTTCAAAAATTTAAAAAAAGAAACACTAATAAATAAAAACCTGGCGATGACTTGGTACAGTTATTTTTGCTGTAATCTCATAAAATATACCACAATGCTAGACGACCTTGATAACGCTCTTTCTGTGAGTGATTTTACAGGCCAGGAGAGACACTGCTGGAGGGCAAGACACTTTAGCAAAATCATGGTTCCTACTGCCACCTGCTGGATGCCACAAGTAATACATCACTTTGGAAACATTTATTATTTTTTAAAATAATGATTACATGGTTGATCAGGGTGGGAAGGATCAAGGCTTAGGGAAAATTGGGTGAATTTGTTGCTTCCAAATTTGCTGTTTCTTCTTGTTGTTCCTGAGGTAAGGGAAGAAACAAAGAGGAATGCCACCCACAACTTTCCATACATCCCAGTACCCAGCGGTGAGGAACCGCCACCACATATCAATCCAGAGACTCCATGTGTACATATTCCAAAGGTCCTGTCCAAGTGGTTTGAATAGTTCTGAAATGCTGCCGATTTTACGAAAAACTTAAGAAAAGTTAATTTGGGGGGGGGCAGCATTGTGATGCGGCAGGTTAAGCAGACAGTGAGCACCGGATCATGTCTAGACCACTCCACTTCCGGTTTAGCCCCTGGCTAATTACCTAAGAAAGCAGTGAGAGACGGCCCATCTGCTTGGGTCCCTGCCACCCCTGTGGGAAACCTGGATGGAGGCCCAAGCTCCTGGCTGCAGTCTGGTCCTGCCCAGCCCTGGCTGCTGTGGTCATCTAGAGAGTACACCAGTGGATGAACGGTTTCTTTATCTCTCTGCCTCTCCCTCTCTGTGTAACTCTGTCTTTCAAATAAATGCATAAATTTCTTTTGAAAGACTTCTTGCCTTCATGGTTTCTGATAAGAAAACCCCAGTCATTGAAAAGCTTGTCCTTCTAAGGTACTACAGGAAATGGATGGATTCTCCCACTGCTTGCAAGATGTTTTTATCTTGTCCTTAGTTTTCAGCAATTTAATTATGGCGTTTCTGGATGTGGATTTTTTTGGCTTTATTCCGTCTGAGGTTTGGTAACTTCTTGAATCTGTAGGTTTGTGGGTTTTACCTAATTTATATATATATATATATATACCTAATTTATATATATATATATATCTGGCACCATTATTTCTACACGTTTCAGCCCATCTTCCTCTGTGTCTTCAAGTTCACACACTTATTCTTTTACCAACCCTATTCTGTTATTGAGTCCATCTGGTTTTTAAAAATTCTTGCCTTTTCAGTCCTAAAATTTCCATTTGATTAACCCCATATGTCTTCTCTTTCCTGTTCTAGTAATTTACATCTTAAGATTTCTTTTGAGAATTTTATGGTTTCTCATTCAACTATTTTTTGAATAGCTTTTTTAAAGTGCTTATCAGCTAATTCCAGCATTGGCATGGCCTCACTTTTGGCATCTTTCGTTGTCTTTCCCCATCAAAGTTGAATATTCCACTGTTCTTTTTCTGCTGAGTAATTCTGAATTTTATCCTGGACAACCTAGATAGTTAGATTCAGATCACGAGTTCCGTCCTGCGTCCTGTGGGTGTGATTTCAGTGTCAGTTCAGTTTTCACAAGCTTTGCACTGTTGTTTGGGTCTGTCCACGTAACACTCAGTGGTTAGTCTGAGACTCAGGTAGAAAGCTCAGCTTTCAGTATTTGACATGTTAATTGAGATATGATCTGTGCATGTGGAAGTTGGAAGCTGAGAAAAGCAACTCTGTACAGTTGGATGCCTAAGGCTCTGACCCAACCTGCAAAGGCCTTTTCCCTGGGGCTCTCCGGAGCTCAAGGCAGACATGAAGGCTCAGGCCTTCTGCCACTCACCGCTAAACTTCACTGCAGTCTACCAGCTGTGCATTCTCTTCTTGGTTCATTCCCATCCCTGTGTCTCAATCCAGGGAGTTCAGAGAGAGAGATAGGACTGGACACACAGATGTTCCCAAGGCTCCAAAGAGAATCTAGAGACCTCATTGTAGACCTTCAGGAGAGCAAGGGTGACCTGAAGCCTAGTATAGGGCACCTGTGCCCCCAGATTAGCCCAGTCATTTCTGGCCCATTGCTCAGTCAGGATGGACCAGAGGGTAACAAATGGCTGAGCCACTCCCTAGTGGAGTGTTTTCAGAATTCCCAGGAGGGGTTCTACAAGAATTGGAGGTGATCCTGAGTCTCTAGATGATCTCTCTTGCCTTCGCTAGGACCCCTGGACCTGGGAACTCAGTCTAGTCTCATTCCCCAGTGGCAGAAGCTTCCCCCAGAACAAATAAAACCTCGCTGTCCTAAGTTGTTTTTGCCCAATTTCTTTTGCTTTATTGGAAAGTCAGATTTACAGGAGAAGGAGAGGCAAAGAAAGAGTTTTCATTTGTTAGTTCACTCACTCCCCAAATAAAGCAATGGTCAGAGCTGAAAGCCAGGAGCCAGCAGCTTCTTTGAGATCTCCCATGCAGGTGCAGAGTCCCAAGGCTTTGAGTCATCCTCAACTGCTTCTCCAGGCCAGAAGCAGGGAGCTGGATGGGAAGTGGAGCAGTGAGTATATGAACCAGTGCCCATAAGGGAAGATGGTGCTTGAAGGTGGAGGATTAACTTATTGAGTCACCATGCTGGCTCTATCTGTCCAGTTTCTTGAATAACCATCTAGTCAACCAAACTTTTACAAAGGACTTGATTCACTGGTTGACAGTGAATCAAGACATCTGGTCAACCTGTAAATTCAGACTTAAAGTCAATGTCCTGGTCAGAACATTTGTTAAACCACAAAGCTGACCATCTGATTAATCTGACTTGCCAAAAGACAATCTGCCATAATCTCCCAGGGTCCCTACATGTTCTTCCCAGGCACACCAACAACACGAACCACTCTTTCCAAAGCCCAATTTTCAGCAAGCTCCCTCAGGATAGGATACCATCTTCCAGACCAAAAACTCACTGGCTATTGCTTGCTACAAAAGCTGTGACTCCTCCACACTCCGTTTTCCTGTCCTTGTGTGCCACCACCCACCTTGTGTACAGGGTTGCATTCAGGCCCATCTGCAGGAGCCCCCTAACACCTAGCAGGCCCGGGGATCCAACGCAAGCAGCAGGCCGACACCCTTGCTGTCTCACCTGTCACTGAGACGGCTCGCATCTGTGGCTCGTACCCGTGAAACAGCACAGCTTGGTATCTTGCAAGTAGGACAAAGTCTCATCTGTTTCCACCTTGGGGGTGAATTTAGCAGGAAGCTAGACTGGAAGCGAAGCAGCTGAGGCTTAAACCATGTGCTCCAATAGGTGCCTTTAACCACTGTACACAATGCCTGTCCCTAAGGCGCTTATTTCTGTGCAAAGACCAAGTCCCAATGTTTAAAATACATATGTCTTTTTTTTTCTTTATTCATTTGTAAGATACTCCCCAAATGGCTGCAACTGCCCAGGACTGAGCCAGGTTAAAGCCAGGAACCAGGAGCTTCTTCCAGGTCTCCTATGTGGGTGCAGGGTCCCAAGCACTTGGGCCATCCTCTACTGCTTTCCTAAGTGCACAGGCAGGGAGCTGGATGGGAAGTGGAGCAGCTGAGACTTGCTGGTGTCGCAGTCAGAGGTTTTACTTACTATGCCACAATGCAATCCCTAACTTCCAACTTTCACAGGCAGTCATTGAAGCCACCCAGTTTCAGCCTGGGCACTTTGATGATCAGATTTCACATTCAGAGGAAAAGGAAAAAAGAGGAACCAACAGAGAAAGTTCCAAAGAGTTCCATAGAAGAGGCAGTGTACTTGCAGACCAGATCCTGGGGAAAGCAGAAACGATAAGAAGCTATAAGAAGGGCCCATTGTGGTAGCCTAATGGCTAAAGTCCTTGCCTTGCACATGCTGGGATCCCATATGGGTACCGGTTCATATCCTGGCTGCTCCACTTCCCATCCAGCTCCCTAATTGTGGCCTGGGAAAGCAGTTGAGGATGACTCAAAGCCTTAGGACCCTGCACCCGTGTGGGAGACCCAGAAGAAGCTGCTGGCTCCTGGCTTCGGATCAGTTCAGCACCAGCCATTGTGGCCACTTGAGTGGCTGGGGTGTGGCACATGCTTGACAACTCATTTTCTCTCTCTTTTTTTTTTTTTTAATTTTTATTTTTGATGATTTTTACATAGTTGATTAGGGTGGTAAGGGTCAAGGGCTACAGAAAGGTGGGTGAGATCATCATTTCCACATTCTCTCTCTTCTTTTTCCTTCCTGTATCTGGAGGAAGGGGGAAGATAAGGAGAGAAGCCACATCCAGCCTCCCAAACGCCTCTACATCCTGTGCAGCCTGTCTTTGCAATTTTTGGAGCATAGAAAATGTAACTGTTTTAGCTGCTTTTATAATTTTTAGCTAGAGGAATTAAGGATGCTTTTATTAAAGAAAAATGCTTTTAATTATTGTTTCATTGTTTATGGGGTTGTAGAGTCTATAGTTGTAGAGGGATTTAACATTTGAAACTTCTGTTTTAGATTTTACGTTTTTTTCCTTGTAACCTATTTTCCCATTAAATGATGGGTAAATTGTAGAAATAGAAATGTGGTAGGAATGTACTACTGATTAGCAGGTAATCGCATGTGCCTTGGCCTTGGAGTCCTGGCTGTCGCTCCATGGCTACTGTTGAAGAATGAATAATGGCTTGCTTTGAAGAATATGAATACAGTATTTTGCAGAATTATCTTTAGGGGCACCTGCTTAGCCCTGAAGTGCAGACAGAGTGACCAAATGTCTGTACATGCCCCCTTAGTCTTGAAGTAAAAAATAGAACAATTAGTTGTGTAGAGGCTTGTAATGTGTCTGAGTAAATAAAAAGGACAGCTTCTTCTTGAGCTGTAGCAAGAGCACATGAAGTGACAGTGTCCGTGTCTTTCTTTATCGCCGACTCCACATACCCTTCCCGAGCTCCGAACTCGGCTGGAGCTGGATTCCAGCACATATACTCATCAAAAGGGACATTAGTGGGCCTGGTGTGTTAGCCTAATGGCTAAAGTCCTAGCCTTGCATGCTCCAGGATCCCATATGG